ACCAAATTAATATCGATAAAAATCAGACTCGGGTAACTAAGCGAACTATTCTGTCAATAATATCACAGATATTTGATCCATTAGGGTTGGTTGGGCCAGTTGTAGTTCGTGCAAAATTGATCATGCAGGCATTGTGGAGGGAGAAGTTAGGTTGGGATGAGTCTTTATCACTTGATTTGCATACAGCATGGGTACGATTCAGGGATGAAATTTGGAAGATAGGAAAAATTGAGATACCAAGACAGGTTACAGTTTCAAATTTGATGAATGTTCAGTTACATTGTTTTGCAGATGCTTCTGAAGTAGCATATGGAGCTGCAATGTACATACGGTCTATTGATGGGCTAGGAAACTGTTTTGTTAATCTTTTATGTGGTAAATCTAGGGTTGCACCTTTGAAGGTCATATCACTTCCTAAGTTAGAATTGTGTGCCGCAGTGTTAGCAGCCAAATTGTCAAAAGATGTTATAGGTGCGTTGCGGATGAAATTAAACAAGGTTCAATTTTGGTCAGATTCTACGATAACACTAGATTGGATAAGGGGAGAGTCTAGTGATTGGAAAACTTTCGTTGCGAATAGGGTAGCTGAGATACAAGAATTAACAGGGATTGAGGAATGGTCACATGTAGAATCGCACGAAAATCCAGCTGATGTTTTATCTAGGGGAACAGAGCCTGACAAGTTAGGTTCAATGGAATTATGGTGGCATGGGCCACTATGGTTGAGGAAAGATGAAGAGTATTGGCCGAAAAGGAAAGAATCTCCAGGAAGCGAGATACCAGAACGAAGATCAGTACGGCAAACATTTTTTAGTTCTTCGTTTTCTTTGGATATAATCGAAAGATTTTCGAGTTTATGGAAATTACAAAGGGTTTGGGCTTATTGCTTGCGTTTTATTAGACAATGTAAAGGTCAACAAAGAACGGAAATATTGACCATAAATCTTACGGTAAAGGAGTTAGAAGATGCTTTACATAGTTTAATAAAATTCGCTCAAAGGAAATGTTTCAATTCGGACATTGATAATTTGCAATCAACAGGATTCTTATCAAAATCAAGTAAACTCATATCTTTAAATCCATTTTTGGATTCACAGGGAATTTTGAGAGTAGGAGGAAGGTTGAACAAAGCAATTATAGGTTATAATCAAAAACATCCAATGATACTGCCAAAAAATCATAAACTTACGGATTTAATAATCACATTTGAACACAGAAAAAACTTACATGCGGGACCACAAGCATTATTATACACATTGAGATTACATTTTTGGATCTTAGGTGGTCGTAGTACAGTCAGACGGGTATTGCATAAATGTATTGTTTGTTTTCGGGTGAAACCAATCAAGTTTCAGCATTTAATGGGTCAATTACCAGAGTCTCGAGTGGCTCCAAGCCGCCCGTTCACGAATTGTGGGGTTGATTATGGGGGACCTTTTCATATTAGGGTGCATAGACTCAGAGGTCAAAGATATGTCAAGGGATATATTTGTTTATTCATTTGTTTCGTCACCAAAGCAGTCCATTTAGAGTTGGCTGTTGATTTGACTACAGAATCTTTTTTGACTTGCTTCAAAAGATTTATTGCCAGGAGAGGATTGGTACAGAATATGTATTCCGATAATGGAACTGTTTTTGTAGGAGCAAACAATCAATTACAGGACCTGTATACATTTTTGAAAAACAAAGAAACCCAGGTTGCATTTTCAGATTATTTCCTGAAGAATAAAATTAGCTGGCATTTCATTCCAGCACGGGCACCACATTTTGGTGGGTTATGGGAGGCGGGAATCAAATCCGCTAAATATCATATCAAAAGGGTTTTGGGAAATGAAAAGTTTACTTATGATGAGTTTCACACTGTCATCACTCAGGTAGAGTCATGCTTGAACTCTCGTCCTCTCACACCATTATCAGAAGATCCTGAAGACTTGAACGTACTCACTCCAGGACACTTTCTGATCGGAAGTGCATTAACGTCTCTTCCTCAAGAGGACTGGCGTTCAGAAAATCCAAATAGAATCAAGAGATACAATCACTTAACTCAAATTATACAACATTTCTGGGACAAGTGGTCCAAGGATTATTTGTCTGGTCTCCAAATCAGGGGCAAATGGCATTCGAACCAGGAGGGTGCCACTATCAAACAAGGGACCATGGTCGTGATCAAAGACGACAATTTACCTCCTCTCAAGTGGGATCTAGGACGAGTCATCGAGGTTCATCCAGGCGAAGATAGTGTAGTGCGAGTTGTCACAGTGCGTACTGCTAAAGGTCTGTTCAAACGTGCTTCATCTCGTTTGTGCATACTCCCAATCGAAAATGACAATTGAAAGTAGAAACAGCTGATTATTTCTCAATTTTTGTTTGGAATTAATTTGTTAGCGATAATTGCATATTGTGTCATGCATCATTGCTCAGATATTATTGTAAGGAAGTTTGTTTATGTAAATGTTGAAAGCTTGAGCTTTCAAGGGAGGCGGCATGTTCGGACAATCAGTTTCAACATCACTTCATTGGCATATTAATTTTATCATATGGTATATACAGTCCACGGTTTCTAGAAAGGTGCCATTAGGTATAGTAACATATATCTCTTGTTTTAGAATTTTGTTTAATAAATAGATAGAACTGACATATATGTGACAGGTTTTCATACCAAATTGTCTTCCTTGAATATAAATACAAAAACATGGAAAATGTATATAGTTTTATTAAAAAACCATAAAGGAAATAGAAATTCAGTTGGGTCATCCAACAATATTACTGGCGTATTCAATAAGATATTGATCTCAAAATTGGTACATCACTATAGCACAAAGGGTTAAATCGTGTGAGGAAAACAAAACAAAAAATAACTGTCAAATATTCAAAATACTGGGGGTCAAGTACACACTTACCCCCATATTTTTTTTGTACGTGCGCTAATGACTTTTTACTTATTTTTCTTCAAGTGTTCAATCATTTTTGAGTATTTTTTGCCTCTTGTAAAATTTCGATAAAATCGTTTGTTTTTAAGATAATTCGAGAAGTACTGGTTATTGTTTGATGCCTATGCGGCTTAGGTAATCTCATAATGTTCACATACTCCTATTTATTTCGTCGAAATTGTAAGGGGGCGTAAATTTTCACGTACGAAAAGTTAAATATGGAAATACCGGATGCTCAGAGCGAATGTATTGGAATAATTTTGACAAAAAAAATTGATAGAAATTCAACACGTCTTAATAAATTGCTCGATATGACCTCCAATATTTTGAATACACATGCGAGCCCTTTATAAAAGAAAATCTTAACTAACTAATCTTGAAAAATATGTGGCTTATACACAAAATCTTTCATGCATCCCCAGACAATCCTGATCTGCTATTTCTTTCATCAAGTAGCTATTAAAATCATGGATATCATAATTTCACCTAAAATTTCCGAAAAAAATGTTTCCGATTTTATTTCCCGTTCGTTCGCGCTCGACATACCATACGGGGGGGTCTCGAAAATATTTTTTTTAAATTCCGCAGCTCCCAAAACCACTCAAACCGATTTTAATTTTTTTTTTAAATTTGCTGTAAAAATTATTTCAATACATTCGCTCTGAGCACCCGGTATTTCCATATTTACCTCTTCGTACGTAAAAAGTTACGCCCTCTTCCAATTTCGACGAAATAAATAGGAGTATGTGAACATTATTATGAGATTACCGTAAGCCGCATAGCATCAAACAATAACCAGTACTTTTGGAATTATCTTAAAAACTAATGATTTTATCGAAATTTTACAAGAGACAAAAAATACTCAAAAATGATTGAACTATTGAAGAAAAATAGATAGGAAGTCATTAGCGCACGTACAAAAAAAATATGGGGGTAAGTGTGTACTTGACCCCCAGTATTTCGAGTATTTGACAGTTATTTTCTGCTTTGTTTTCCTTACACGATGTAACTCTTCGTGATGAAGTAATGTACCAATTTATACGCGAGTAATTAAAAAAAACAGTTTTTAATTTCCAACTTTGACACCCTATATATCGAATATGAAGGGCTAAAATGAAAAATGGTATCTAGAAACTCATATTGTTTTCGTTCAAGGAATATATATTATGGTTAATGGATTGACCTCTTTTTAGCGGACACCCTGTATATTGTGAGCAATAAAAATTCCCTGCTACTGAGTCAGGTTGAAAAACAGCCTAGGCTGAACTTCGCCGTTCATCAATGCAATGCAATATCAAATCATCCCAGAAAGTGCTTAACGAGCTTATAGAAGTTATCAATTCAAAAACAAATGAATGACTCCCCCTGGTCAATGTTTTCGTTATCACCCTGTATACAGGGTGCCCGTTCTTCGAGCTCCACCATTAGGATCTCAGTTATTATAAGAGATATGAGGTCGGTTAAAGAAAATTCGATGTGTCATTTTCAGATTTTGAATTATTTAAAGAAAACGAAAATTTGTAATTTTCATTTTTATTTTTTCAAGCGAAAACCAACAGACCTAGACGTTTCTGACTAGGACATTCTCAAGGCACTTTTTCACAAGGAATCTGAATCTGTCATCGTATTTTCCAAGACGTTCTTGATGCTAAAGTTACAACACTCAACTTTGTTTTTTCTTATGGGCGCCATATTGGACTTTTGCATTTTTGAAGTTTTTTTTCTGATTACAATGCTGTGTATCATTCGATATGATCGAATCTTTCCTGTTGATCAAAATACAATAACAGATTCTGATTCTTTGTAAAAAAGTGCCGCAAGAATGTCAGAAAAGTCTAGGTTTTTTGGTTTCCGCTTGAAAAAATTGAAACGAAAAAGATAAATCTCCGTTTTCTTCCAATAATTCAAAAACTAAAAATGACACATCAAATTTCCATGGAGATGAATGTTTAGCATGAAAATGCGCAACTTTGTCCTAAATTAACCGACCTCGTATCTCTCATAATAACTGATATCCCCATGCTGAAGCTCGAAAAACGGACACCCTGTATATGATACTTACGATCGTAGAGAAACGGCACCCTTCCCGAGGTTCACAACATCAACACGGGCGCCACCGGAATGCACGAATTCGGCCTCATCACCCGATTGGCCGGAAAGGACGTGCTGCCCTTCTGGAAGGATCCGCCCTGTAACGATTTGGCCGCGAGCGAGGGCAGCTTCTTCCCGCCCAGGTACTACACCAATGCCGATATCGTCAACATCTACGACAAGGACTTGTGCCGGATTCTGCCCATGCAGTACCGAGGACCGGACTCCAAACACGGTGAGATAAAAAAATTTAGAGATTTTGATTAATTTTCAGCAGAAAAGGTATGTTCTGTTTCGGTCATTCGGGTATCATCAGTCGTCCTCGGTTTGCTGAGGGTGTGTCACCTCTTTCGAAGGCGCCATGATGTTTTAATCGATCACTAGATGGTGGAAAATCCAACCCGAAATATTCTTTATCGAACTTGAAGTCAATTATTTGCGGCTGTCAAAAGAAATTGAGATGGAAAATCAGGAGGAATATAGCATGGAAAATCCGTTTGACTATGAGATATTTTTCATTTGTCAGCTATGACGGTCGGTACTGTTTCGGTCGTGTTGGTATCATCAGTCGCTCTCGGTCTGCTTCGGGTGTATCACCTGTTCCGAAGACGCCATGATGTTTAAATAGACATCTAGTATGCCGGAAAATCAAATCCGAAATATTTCGGATTAAAACTGATTTGCTGGAAAAGAAAATGAAGGGCCCGTTTTCATTTTGAGTGAAACATCTCGTGTTATGAGGTTGGCTCGAAGTTTATCAAATATCACATCTCCATAAAATATGCACCACTATTTCATTATTATTGAAAACTTGAGCAAAAATATCTTCTTTACAAACCATGAATGACATTGACAGAAGACAAAACATTCGACAAGTGACACTGAATTTGACAGTGTAGTTGCTGCTGACCCAATAACACAAAATGTCTCACCCTCATCACATAATGTTTATGGTGACATTTCAATTACGTGGAACGAACCAATTTTGATCTGAAATTTTCAGGTATTTCTGCGGATCTGTACACGCCGACAGACAACATCTTCGAATCAGTGGACAAATATCCGGAAAATAAGTGCTATTGTCCCGGAAACGAATTCTGCCCTCCCAAAGGATTGCAGAATATCAGCCCGTGCCAATTCGGTGAGTCCGCCCTGTATGCCTCGATCGTCAAACTGAACCGTAGTTTTCTTTTCCAGATGCCCCTGTATATTTGTCGTTTCCGCATTTTTTCGAGGCCGACCCAACTTTGGCCGAACCTTTCGAAGGTTTGAGTCCGAATAGGGAAAGGCACCAAAGCTACTTCAAAATCCAACCTGTAAGTACCTTCACTTCGATTGGTGGTTCCGAATGGGAAAGTTTCCTTCATTAAATAAGTTCGGAACTCTCCAGTTTTATGTCCACGCTGTAGATAATGGCGACCGATAAAGTCCAAGTCGTTTTCATTTCTAAATTAAAGCAATTTCTGTGACGTATATTCTGAATCTAGTCTGAAAATAGCTGATGGTGAAAAATATAGCTAGCGAATAGCTAAGGAATGAAAAACGAATGAAAAATTAGAAGAAGGAGTGAAACTGGTGAACAAAAACATACATAACCACAAATGCACTCGGAGCAGGAATGCAGAGGGTAGTTGGCTTCACTCTGACAGGTTATGGTTAATATATCATTGAATCAATGAATCACTATCGGCTACATTCAATGATACTATCCTTTCTAATTTACTGTCATCGGTCAGACCAGGATGAAGCCGACACCCATGGCTCCTTCCTCTTGTTGTGCCTGTCGGTATTTTGGGTGGTGTGGACGAGCTCGAAGTATTTAGGCGCTGTTGCAAAATATAATCTGCAACTTTCTTAGAAAATAGATCAGTTTTATTAAGGAACGAATTCATTAGCAAAAAAATAACTGACAAGTAATGAATAACATATTGTAATATAACGATAGTGAAAAATTATAGATACTATCGCAACATATGATAATTTATCTTTATTAGTAATCAACTTCATTCAGCCAATGAGAGATTTATGGGAATTATTCATAATACTTGACAAAGTAGGAATGAAGAACCTATTATCATTGCTGTTATGATATTCATTCATTCAAAGAACAATTTCCGGAAATTTAGACATATTGATGATGTCGGCAACGTCGTACTGGCACAGGGAATCGTATTTTAACTCTGTGTGAATGTGTATTTTTAGAAAGTACGTCATAGGAATGGTGGAGGAGCCATGTTCCTCTTTTATTTATTTTTTTCAGAAGTGAAATTTGATCTTACGAGAAAAAGAAAAAATACGTATATATTAATTTTTTACAACTTCACAGTGAGATATCAAAGTAAAAACCTCAACCATTTCAACCATACCACCCAGACTAAATCTTAGTATGAATGGCACAGAACAAGATTCATCATTTTCACAGAACTGAATTTATCATAGAACTCGAACACTAGATTTACGGGTGAAAATTCCATGGTCATGAAATACAGAAATCTCCAATGTCAAAGCAAAGCTGCCAACATTTAAGATGGGCATACACACAAATTGGACTAATCCTTGCTATGGCGGTAAATTGAAAGAAAATTAATTTAATTCTGGATTCGTCGGATATAAAGTTCATTCCATACGTAATCAACATCATCAACATTATATCTTATCTCGTTGAACTGTAGATTTAGTTTGTACTCTCAGCAAGTGCCATTATTTCAATATTTTCATTTTTCAGAAACTGGGAGTTCCCATCGAAGGTAAAATTCGTGCTCAGCTGAATTTGAAAGTTGAACATTCGCCGTACGTAGCTCCGGCCAAAGATTTTCCTAGCATAATTTTTCCAATCATGTGGGTAGAAGAGGTGAGAAAATATACTGTTAAATGTCATCTGTCATTATTCTAAATTATGTTCCCTCGTTGCAACCTGTTGCGACGATGACTCAGACTGTTTTTTGGAATCTAATAAATAATACTCAATAGTAGTAGGTTACCCTCGAGTTTATCTAACAAGTGTGGAAAAGTCACTTTACGCACGTGATAGGTACACTATTTTTTCAACTTGCGTGCGAGAAAAAAAATCACCAATAGAAAAATTTAATATGTGAAAAAAATTCAGGAGCATGTTGCTGAAGTCAAAATAAGTAAAAAAGTTCGTATATATAAATATGTCCATAAGTTATTCGTTTCTGAATATAGGAATGTCAGTTTGATTCATATTTAGGTTTTTCTGAATACATTCCAATATAATCGTGATATTCGAGTGAGATACCAAATTTCACTCGAACATATCACGTTTATTTCGAATTTTTCCCAAAAAACAGGAATAAGAATCAAATTTTGACACTCTGGATCTCAGAAATGAATAACTTGCAGACATATATTTATATATAATCTAAGGTTTATACGAACTTTTCTTCTTATTTTGACGTCAGAAACACCCTCTGTGTATGAAGTAAGTAAGTAACAATAAAAAACATTTGAACGAATGATCATTCTCTAAATTGACAGGTGGTAGAAAATTATATTTTATAAAGTGGACGTTTCATAGTAGTTCCTCGTTTTTTTACGCACGTGTTAGGTACACTATTTTTTCTGTGTTAAAAGTTTTTTCCGCACTAGTGCGGAAAAGCGTCTCTTTAACACTAAAATGAGTGCGGAAAAGAGGACTTTTCCGCACGCTAGCTGAAAAAATCATTTCCACTAAATATTGATGTGAGAATGACATTATAATAAACACGACCATTCTGAATGAACGCAATAATTTTGCGGACGATGACATTTTGTATTTAGGGAATAGACGACATCACACCTACCATCAGGAGGTGGATCTATCTGGCCACCACTTTCGCCGATATAGCTTGCCCGCTAATGACGTACGGATTCATATTTCTGGGCACGTGCGTCATCCTCGGCGTCATCGTGAACGCCTACAAGTCATTGGTGTTCACAAAAGAAACCATCGAAATAGGTAAATAACAGTTTTAAAAACCATTGATTCAGTATTCATAATAACATTTGATGCATCACAGTTGACCACTTTCTATGTTGATTGAAACTGGCGCCCAACGGAGGGCTCCTATATCTTTTAATTCTGCGAACATTGTTCAAAACTTCAACTTAGTCATCAATTTGTTATGTTATTGGCATGATGAGGCTTCCAACAAAATGGCGCCCAACGGCGGGATCGTGTCTTGATTACTCTAACATGTTCAGTGTTTAGTGATCACGTATACAGTTTCTTAGGGGTTTAAAAATAGCAATCGCTTCAACAGATGTTTCTCAATAGTTTCGTTGCATGCTTCCTTGCTTACCTTCGAAAGAAACGTATTGAATTGAACAGATCTTTCGAATCAATGCAATATCTTTTAATTCTGCGAACATTATTCGAAAAAATTTTCAAACTTCAACTTAGTCATCAATTTGTTATGTTACTGGCATGAGGCTTCCAGCAAAATGGCGCCCAACGGCGGGCTCGTGTCTTGATTACTCTAACATGTTCAGTTTAGTGATCACGTATACAGTTTCTTGGGGTTTTCCAAATAGCAATCGCTTCAACAGATATTTTTCAGTTTCGTTAAATGCTTCCTTGCTCACCTTCGAAAGAAACGTATTGAATTGAACTGATCTTTAGAGTTACTGCGATATCTTTTGATCCTGTGAACATTGTTCAAGATAATTTTCAAACTATAACTAAGTCATCAATTTGTTATGCTACTGGCATGAGGCTTCCAGCAAAATGGCGCCCAACGGCGGGCTCGTTGTCTTAATCACTCTAACATGTTCAGTGTTTATTGATCACGTATACAGTTTCTTGGGGTTTTCCAAAAAGCAATCGCTTCAACATATGTTTTTCAATAGTTGCGTTGAATGCTTCCCTACTTACCTTCGAAAGAAACGTATTTTACGTATTGAATTGAACAGATCTTTAGAATTACTGCGAACATTGTTCAAAATAATTTTCAAACTTCAACAGAAATTTAAAAAAATATTAAATCGAAAGGTATTTGAGTGATGATTCTATTTGAGGAATAAAAAAGATAGTCCACTCGCCTATTATAATTTTTCTGATTATTTCAGGTATGAGGAATCTGCGCAGGCGCAGTAGCGCGTACATCTACAGTTCGAATAGGTTCATATCAAGGAGAGACACCTACACGTTATTAGATCTGAACGAGGAAGAAGATGGTACCGTTTGAGATAAGACTAAACAATAAAAAAAAAACGAGAGAACGTCGAAAAAATTATGTTTTATTCATCTAGCGTTGACTTGCCCCGTTTCATTGCCCATATAGACGGCTGGGATTAGAGTTTTTAGGGATAGGTTTTATGGACATTTTTATGTTTTATTTTGTTGGATGATTGGAACTTGGCCTTTTCAAAAAAAAAAAACATGAGTATTTATTATCTCCTTGAAATGTGATACAAATGACTCGAATATGTGAGTTTGAAGATCAGCATCAGAGAAACATTAGGTTGGTCAACCATCTGAACCCAAAGTTTGTGTATATATTACTTATTTTAGTTAATCAAGAGTTGCTGTCATGGTGAATTTGGTTTTAGACTTGTTTAGCATTCATTTCAACGTACAAAACATCCTCATGATTATTATTGTTTCAATTATGAAACACCTGATATTAATATTTTATACTATTATCATGAATTTAACACCATTTTGCCATTTTCCTATGAAGACATTGACGTTGACTGCACTTTTCAGAACCCCCGGTATATAATGAAGAAATGTGTAAACGTGAAATCAAAAAGAAAACGAAAATACGTCTCCAAATGAAAATGGAAAAATTGCTACTGGCGAATATTGGTAAAATTTCTAGATATGAATTAGAAACAATGAAAATCTTTTGGTCCAGATAAAAAATATTTGAATATTGGTTTTTGTGGAATTGAAGTAACCAAAATGTAATTGGGTTGAGTTAATGATAGTGAATAAATAAGCTTGATGGACCTTTTTGAATATTTCCACAGAAAAATTGTAAATAATAGACAGGGTTGGGCAAATCTTGATTTCTTTAAAAAAAATCAAAAATCATTGATTTTAATAAAAAAACCATGATTTTTTGGATTTTTTTGATTTTTTTGATTATTTTTGATTTTGGTCTTAATGCGCGCTAAATATAGGTACCTGTCAACATTCATGTCCATTTTTTAACTCAAAACTATTTTAATTTTGTGTATTCCATGAATTTGAGTATTATAAAATTAAAACAAGATAATATAATTCACAAAGAAAGCCATTCTCAGTAGGACGATGTGGGTCGACCAACATGTCTATACAAGAAAATTCCTGTAGCCTGTATATGTATATGTTTCAATATCCAGTTTTTTTAGGGGTTTTACTATTTTATTTCAGTTCAATATTTTTTATTATTCAAATAAATAATAAATGTTCTCGAAATTATTATTTTGATTTAAATTGTGATTTAAAAAAAAAAATCACTTGATTTAAATCATGATTTTTATCTTGATTTAAATCAATTGAATTAAATCAGCCCAACCCTGATAATAGATATAACCACTGACATTTATTTTCTAGGTTATATCAATGCAAACAGTCTTGCTCAATATAGAAATATTATGAAATGTGATACATGAGATGCAAACTCTTGCATTTTCTTCTATTTTAATTGAAGATTATAATTTATATTAAACATTTACTTTGGTTTGGGAGTGTTTTTCAATTTGAACTGAACCCAAAGAATAAGATTTGACATCACAGATTGTGCTAACATTACCCTATTTGTTTCATTATTTTTGTATGGTAAGTTATTATTACTTAGGTGAGTATGAATTAAATTACTAGAGGTAAAATATCTCCACATTTGGCAGACACTTTCAATTTGACTAGATGGTCAGCCCTAGTAGGGCCTATATTAATTATAGCTACATTCTTGCCTTCCTCCAAGGCTTGCAAGACTATCCTATAGCCTGAGAAAACTGTCAAACTAGAGCCTAAGACCAGCAAAGAGTCACTTTCACTAACTGCACTTTTGACAGCTTCCACTCTAGCTCTAGGCACATTGTCCCCAAAAAATGTTATATCTGGTTTCAACATTCCTCCACAAGACTCACACAGGGGTGGTTTGAACCCTTCTATGATTTCCTAAAAATGTCCAGCTCAAATCTATCAATGATTCTATTATTGTGTCCAACTTACTAGTGGTATATCTACATCACCATCTGGTCGGATTGTGGTAGAAGTTGGAGTTATATGTGAATTGAGCTGGATCAATCTTTCCTGGATATAATGGCGGTCATAAAAGGCTTCACACTTTAAGCAAATCACTCTGAAGGCTGTCCCATGCAACTCTATAACATTCTGGCTGCCAGCTTTGTAATGGAGATTATCCACATTTTGAGTGACCACTGTGGAAATCTGAAAATTTGATAGTCAATTCAAAATCAATTAACTGTTTTCCCTTGAAATACTATTACTAGTATGCATTGTTTTTTGATCATATTTCATAAATGTGAATTTTGTGATATTGGATTATTTTGTACTAACCTAAAAACCTACTTTTTCTTTTTCCAATTCACAAATAGAATAATGTATGATATTTGGTTCACGTTTGGAAAAGGTTGTCCAGCCTACAAAATTTCTTGCCCAGTACCTTTTTTGTACATGAGGGTATTTTATAAATTCCATATGTTGGATTGGTTTGTGGTTTGTTCTAGCATATAGACCTACTTCTTCTGATCGGTAGTCTGGTATTCCTAAAGAATGTATGAATGCATTAAATGTACAATTTTGATCACTGTTTATGTTATTGTATCTACCTGATTCTGTTGATATTCCAGCTCCAGTAAGGAACAACATTTTTTTGGAGTTATTAATAAAACTTTGTACATTGTTGATGTTGGCCTCAGAGACAGGATTATGTTTGGGAACAAATTTTAGTGTCTCAGTTGGAGTGGATACTGTGGATAGTTTTCTGATTATTATTATGTTGTTCATAAAATACCTTAAGCTTGGAAAATATGATGTGGCCATTTTCAATTTATACTGAACTTGAATATTATTTCATATTTTCATATCAAAAATAAAATCCAAAAACTTCTTCAAAGAGGGGCTCAAGATTCTCAAGAAGATCAGCAGAGCCCTGGGCCTGGGGCCACTCGCAAGATAAAAAAAACTAAGAGAAAAGAGAAAATAAAGTTATCTTTGTTTTACAGTATCATTTTCTTCCTACGTGAAGTGGACTGCCAAGAGCTGGCTGCCAGAATTTCCGGAATTTCCCCATTGACCAGTGGCACGCCTTTCCCCCCTTTTGGGTATGGAATATTATCATTATTATCATGTGATATCCAGTGCCCTAGAGCAGCCTAATTGAAAAAAACAATAATAAGCATTGTGAAAGTATGCTTTTGGGTCTCGAATCATTCTCTATCGAATAAACATTGCTTTTCTGCTTTCGGGCCAGTGAGATAGGTTAGCATGTGTACTCAAGTGTAGAATCATGCTATCAGAAAATAATTCCTTGCGAAATCGCCATATGGTAGACCATTGTCGTTCTGCTGGATGACAACCTAGTTAGGTAGTTAGTAGGCAGGAGCTATAATACCTCCTCACACTAGGTCGCCTACTAGGTTTTCATTTAGATCGACAATGGGTACTTCACTCGGAAAAAACAGATTTTTCTAAATTTTTTTATTTTGTTCCTATTATCATTTATTATCAACATCGCCGAGCACAAACAAAAGCAATTAAGAATTTTGATATTCGATACCCAAAAAGGGGAGAAACGCGTGCCACTGGTTAATCGGGAAAGTTCGGAAATTCTGTCAGCCAGCTTCGGCAGCCTACTTCATGTTGGTTAATTTTCTTGTTGGTCCGTTGGTTACCCTGATTCTCTTTGTCATCTGTCAACTCTGTCAAAAATTGACAACACTGTCAATGCTGTCAGTTCGTTTTAGGTTATGGTTATGGTTATTTGTCACAAATTTTACACTTTTCAGCTCAGCTATTCTATTACTATTATTAAGGGATGCTTTGTGCTGTAAAGATGAATACTGTTTTGAAGAAATCTTTGGATGCCTTTCCATGTAAAAGTTTCCTCAAGAACGGTGCAGCTTTCTTGCATACAAGGCAAGTTTTATTGAATTAAAAAATATATATTCCAATAGGACCCCTAAACCAAATGTGAAGTTATAAGTTATGTAATTTCCAAATATTCCCAACTCCTTGATTTTTAGCTATCTGAACTTTTCAGCCAGAAAACTAACGCAGCTAAATGGTACCCAGACGAAGAATGGATGTCACAATTCGATGGCCCAGTAATGTACCCCGACGAAATTACCAAACACTGGGCCATGCAGCCATGGAATGCCAAGAAAGCTCCAATTGAAAAGGCTGTGAAAAACATGACTCTAAATTTTGGGCCCCAACATCCTGCTGCCCATGGGGTACTCAGATTGGTGTTGGAGCTAGATGGAGAGGTATGTGAAAGAAGCAGAAGTAATGAAAACTGATGAAGTGCAGTATTATCATCTATTCTAAATTGTATACTTCAGGTGGTGAAAAGGTCTGACCCCCATATTGGACTGTTACATCGTGGTACAGAAAAGTTGATTGAATACAAAACCTATATGCAAGCATTGCCTTACTTTGACAGATTGGATTATGTGTCTATGATGTGCAATGAGCAGTGTTTTAGTTTGGCAATTGAGAAGTTGTTGAACATTGATATACCATTGAGAGCAAAATACATTAGAGGTATGATATTTTTTGTGACCTATAGAAGCACATATTACATTGTTTTATGTTCCTAGTTTTGTTTGCTGAACTAACAAGGATATTGAACCACATAATGGGTATTGGTACACATGCTCTGGATGTTGGTGCTCTGACTCCATTTTTCTGGCTTTTTGAGGAACGTGAAAAAATGATGGAGTTCTATGAAAGAGTGTCAGGAGCCCGTATGCATGCTGCCTATATCAGACCTGGTGGAGTCTCACTGGTAAGATAAAATAATTATAATTCTGGTAAAACCAATAGTCTCAAATTCTTGATAGTAATTAACAAGGTAATTAATGGAATATTTCTTCTTCTTTCTAGGATTTACCTCTTGGTTTGATGGATGATATTTATGAGTTTGCTTCAAAGTTCAATGAACGAATTGATGAAGTAGAAGATGTTCTTACAAACAACAGAATTTGGGTGCAAAGAACTGAGGATATTGGGGTCATATCTGCTGAGGATGCTCTCAACTATGGCTTCAGGTATTTTTTTATTGCCTCATGCCATTATAAAATCATAGCTATAATGACTGTTTTTTTTAAGTGGGGTGATGTTGAGAGGTTCTGGCATCAAGTGGGACTTGCGTAAAGCTCAGCCTTATGATGCCTACCATTTGGTGGAATTTGATGTACCTGTGGGTACAAAAGGGGACTGCTATGACAGGTATTTGTGCCGTTTGGAGGAGATGAGGCAGTCCTTGAGGATAATACATCAGTGCTTGAATCAAATGCCAGCTGGAGAAATCAAAACTGATGACGCCAAATTGACTCCTCCCAGCAGGGCAGAAATGAAGGTGAGATATTTTTGCAGTTTGTGGTGCACCTTAGCATTTTATCTGAAATTGTGTAGTTATTTTCTGTCCCAGTTATTGAAGAAGTAACTAAACTTCTTAATAATAGTAATAATAATAATGATGATTGGATGGGTGATTTTTATTATATCTGAGAAGAATCACAAATTTGTCTTTTACAGATTTTCAATGATTTGAAATGCCGGTCATTTTTTTGACGTTTTCCCCACGTTTTTTTGACTTATTGCCACATGCTAGTCATGTTTGTAACATTTTTTAGACATTGCCAAGAGCATGTTCATTTTCCTGACTTTCTTATGACGTTTCTGTGACTTTATTATGACGTTTCTTTGATGTTTTTGAACGTTTTGGCGCTTTAACGCATTTGTGATGTTTTTTTAGTCGTTTTTTCGACGATTTAATGAACGTGATTCATCTTTGTGATGTTCCTTTCCATTGATGACGCATGATAGTCGTTTTTGTAACGTTTTTTTCGATGTATTGGCACAAATGTGTAATTTTTATGAAGTTATTTATACTTGAACGTACGTTAGTCATTTTCGTAACGTTTCCGTGACGTTTTCATGATGTTTTTTCAACTCTTTGGCGCTTTGACGCATGCGAGTCATTTTTGTCGTTGTTTTTTCGACGATTTGAAGACCGTGCTTCATCTTTGTGCCGTTTCTTTCGATTGATGACGCATGTAAGCCGTTTTTGTAACGTTTTTTCGACGTATTGACACAAACGTATCATTTTTATGACGTTGTTTATACTTCAACGTACGTCAGTCATTTTCGTTACGTTTCCGTGACGTTTTCATGATGTTTATTCAATTTTTTGGCTCTTTGACGCGTGCCCGTCATGTTTTTCGTCGTCTTTTCCACGATTTGATGACCGTGCCTCGTCTTTGTGCCGTTTCTTTCGATTGATGACGCAGGCAAGCCGTTTTTGTAACGTTTTTTCGACGTATTGACACAAACGTGTCATTTTTATGACGTTTTTTATGCTTCGACGTACGTTAGTCATTTTCGTGACGTTCTCATGACGTTTTTTTGACGTTTTAACGCAGCTAAATTATTTTTTCCAGACGTCCATGGAGGCGCTCATCCACCACTTCAAGCTGTTCACGCAGGGCTTCCAGGTGCCGCCTGGGGCCACCTACACGGCCATCGAGGCCCCCAAAGGGGAGTTTGGCGTGTATTTGGTGTCCGACGGCAGCTCGAAGCCCTACCGGTGCAAAATCAAGGCGCCGGGTTTCGCGCATCTGGCGGCCCTGGACAAGCTCGGCAAGAACCACCTGTTGGCCGACATTGTTGCCATTATCGGGACCCTGGACGTGGTGTTCGGGGAGATCGATAGATAGTTTGATTTTTTTAGGTTTTAGGTCTAAAGTGAACTATTTGATGTAATTTATTTGATTGTTTAATGAAATATTATAGAACTCAAATAAAATGAAGTGGAAACATGTTATCTTTACTTGTGAATTTTTATTTGACCTTTCAAAGCTATAACAAGCAAAGGACTAAAATGTCCTAAAAGAAGCCCAGTATCTTATTCACACTAGACTAGAGGATGCCAAAAGAGCATTAAATACCAATTCAAATGCTCTAGGACAATATTGATTCTTAGGTCTAAAAGAGAAAGAAGGTGCGCATTTGATCTTTTTTCGATTATCGAGAGGCCTCAGGATGGCCTGAAAACTTGAATACAGTATTCTCGATCTGAAATCGGTTGTTCATCTCTAATAGTTAACGAGATATAAGCAAATTTAGGAAAAATAAATGCGCCTCAAAATCGATGAAAACTTCTCTAACACATCCCAATTCGTCTCCAGAATACTGCGTTGAACTCGATTTTGCATTCATTTCAAACGTATTGAGTGCATAAAAAATTCGGTCCGAAAGGGGGTCAAAAATTGGGTTTTTTAAATTTTGGGACTAGAGAGCTGTGCTTCTAGTCCGCATTAGAGGATGCCAAAAGGGCCCTAAATACCAAATTTCAACGTTCTAGGACATTGTTGATTTTTGGGTCTGAAAATGAAAGAAGGTTAACCCCTTTGAACTTTTTTCGATTATCGACAGGTCTCAGAATGGGCTGAAAACTTGCATACAGGGTGTTCTCGTCGTGCTTAACAATAATATGAAAACGGTTTTCCTTTATCTCTAATAGTTTTCGAAATATGGGCAATTTTCTGAAAAATAATTGTGACTGAAAACTTCTCCAACACTCGTCTCCAGAATACTGCTTTGAACTCGATTTTGCATTCATTTCAGAGCTGTTGAGTGCATAAAAAATTCGATCCGAAACAAGGTCAAAAATTTCCTTTTTTTCAATTGTAGGGCTAGAAAGCTGTGCTTCTAGACCGCACTAGAGGATGCCAAAAGGGCCCTAAATACCAAATTTGAACGCTCTAGGACAAAGTTGATTTTTTGGTCTAAAAATGAAAGAAGGTTAACCCCTTTGAACTTTTTTCGATTTTTGTCAGTTCTCAGAATGGGCTGAAAACTTGCATACAGGGTGTTCTCGATGTGCTGAACAAGAATATGAGACCGAATTTTCTTTATCTCTCATAGTTTCCGAGATATAAGCAATTTTAGGACAAATGAATGCGCCTCAAAATCGATGAAAACTTCTCCAACACATCCCAATTCGTCTCCAAAATACTGTGAAATCGATTTTGCATTCATTTCAAAGGTATTGAGTGCATAAAAAATTCGGCCGAAACGGGGTCAAAAATTACATTTCTCTCAATTTTGGGACTAGAGAGCTGTGCTTCTAGACCGCACTAGAGGATGCCAAAAGGGCCCTAAATACCAAATTTGAACGCTCTAGGACAAAGTTGATTTTTGGGTCTGAAAATGAAAGAAGGTTAACCCCTTTGAACTTTTTTCAATTCCAGACAGGCCTCAGAATAGGCTGAAGACTTCTATACAGGGTGTTCTCATCGTGCTGAACAATAATATGAAAACGGTTTTCCTTTATCTCTAATAGTTTTCGAAATATGAGCAATTTTGTGAAAAATAATTGTGGATGAAAATCACTGAAAACTTCTCCAACACATCCCAATTCGTCTCCAGAATACTCTGCTATGAACTCGATTTTGCATTCATTTCAGAGGTAACACGTACATGAAATCGGTTATTCCTTATCTCTGATAAATTCAGAAATATAAGCAATTTTGAGAAAAATAAAAGGGGCTCAACACTATTTTGCATTTGCTCAATATTAGTTGCTCACTAGGGCATACCTAAATATAAGGGCTTAAGCCTCAAGTACCAAATTTGAAGGTGCTAGGATAAAGTTGCTAAGAAAACAAAAAACAACGAATGCTGACAAAATGTATCTTTATTTCCCAATGCTTAGTGACTAAAACACAAACATCCAGTATCAACACATGAAAAAATTCATCACATCCAATCAAGAAAAAACACGATTCACGGAGAATTAGAAATATCCATATTATCCGACTTCTCGGGCGAATTGTTCTGAGCCCCCTCCTCCTCCTTCTCCTTCTCTTTGGGCTTCTCCTTATTCGTCTCGAACCCCTTGTCCTCTTCGTCATAGTTGCGAGGCACCTTCGAATGGGACCTTGTGGAACGCCCAGACGGAGACCTCGATCTCGACCGCTTCTCCTTCGCGTCCCTATCCTTGTCCCTCCTATCGCTCTTCCTCTCCTTCTTCCTGTCTCTGTCTCTGCTTCTGGTCCTGAGAAAAAACAAAAGAAAGTCATGTAAAATACAGAGGGTATGTTCTATGCGGTTTCAAGCGCTATAGTCCAATAAATAAAGGGAAAAAGTTAACATTAATTACGCACTATTTTTATTTTCCAGTTGGAAGTAGCTTTTGGTACCTCATTAAACTTGAGACAAAGTTTGACTGGAAAACGCGTGCGATGGCGGAGAAAATGGCCCCAAAAGACCAGGAAAATAGGTTTTCAGCCAATATCTCCTAAAATATGGCAGTTGGAGATTTTCGGTTCAGATAAAAATTGAAGTTCAGTTAATTTTCTACAAAAATGGTCCTTATCATTTTTCTCGAAAATTTGCCCGGTTTCGAGAAAATGGGGCACGAAGCGCACCTCGAATAATGAGCTTCTGTGTTGTATGCCGGAGAGCACAGTCCGTGTATTTACACATCGGCGGGGGGACAAATTATTCAATAACTTTGTTAAAAATGCATATTTTCTCATGATTCAGAGTTCATGCGAAAGAGGAATTCTGCTACTATCATACCCTGTGAATTGAGTCACGCTTGACTCTTTTGGCCATATCGGAACATGGGTCAAACTTTCTGCTCCCGTTCAATTTCGACCTCGCCAGGAATTTGTTCCTTTTTTTTTGTATTGCACTAATTCACTCAAAATTCTCTTGATTATGGGTCCTCATAAGGTCCTTCGTCATCCCTGAAATTTGTATACCCTAATTTTTTTTTAATTTTCATTTAATCTTTGTTCATTGAATCCCAATTTTTTGCTGTTTTTGGAGCGCGGGGAAATTTTGTGAACAACCATCAGTTAAAAATTTATACATGATCCGATTGGTTTCTATGATACATCATTTGAAAGCTAAGAAGGTCTACTTTTCGATTGTGCAATTACTTTGTTAGACGAAGTCGTCCATTTTTTCAATAAAATTAGAAAAAGCGGGGTCAAGGAAAAAACGCACTTTTTTTTCGGTGGTTTTTTTCTCCGTGCTCTTTATTCCTAACATTTTAACACCTTAACTAGTGTAACGGGGGAAATCCCACCTTTCCATCGATGTATATAAGTCATACCTTTGATATCCCGGGAAAAAAAAACAGTATATCTATGTACACGCTATAATTTATTACTTTCGTTCCTCCGTCGTTCGCCGCGTGTGTGCTCTACGTGGCGCTCGGGTCGTCTGCTACAAACCATGCTGCCACGCAGCGTATGATAGCAGCAGAATTCCTCTTTCACATGAACTTTGAATCATGAGAAAATATGCATTTTTAACAAAGTTATTGAATAATTAGTCCCCACGCCTAATACACGGACTGTGTTCTCCGGCATACAACACAGAAGCTCATTATTCGAGGTGCGCTTCGTGCCGTTTTTCTCGAAACCGGGCAAATTTGCGAGAAAAATGATAGGGACCATTTTTGTAGAAAATTAACAGAACTTCAATTTTTATCTGAACCGAAAATCTCTAACTGCCATATTTTAGGAGATATTGGCTGAAAACCTATTTTCCTGGTCTTTTAGGGCCATTTTCTCCGCCATCGCACGCGTTTTCCAGTCAAACTTTGTCTCAAGTTTAATGAGGTACCAAAAGCTACTTCCAACCGGAAGATGAAAATAGTGCGTAATTAACGTTAACTTTGCCTTTTTTTCCTCCTTCATTTATTGGACTACTATAATTGGGGGAACTGTCTATGGACGTTTTTCGTTCGTGTGCAGCATGCCTTCCGTTCAAGGTTCGATATTGCTCCACGCGGCCAATTTTCCGATAAAAATCGAGTTTTATCGTGGCTGAGGCATTTCAGCATAACTGAAATGTGTTGAAGATGAGAAGGGGACCTCAGAATAGCGTCCAAACTCAGAAATCATCGAAAGGTTTAAACGATTCCCAGGCATTTAATTCGGTGAAGAAACATTTTGAGGTATTCCATTCAATGAATTATTGAAAACGTGAAAATAATCATAAAATATGAGTGATGCATTAGTCAAAAACGAGACTTTTTCACTTTTAAATGCTCCTATATAGGAGCTGGTTGACGTCATGACCATGCAACCTTGAGTAGCTATGACGAAACTGTCTAGTTTAGATTCTCACCGAGGGGTAAATATCCTTGGAAGTTTGGTGTACACTTCATTGGAGGTCACTGGAAGTAATTGAAAGTAATTTGGAGTCATTGATAGTGTTTTGTAGTTCTTAGTATTCATTAGTAGTCATTGAAAGTTACTGGAAGTATTTGGTAGTCATTGGAAGTCACTGGAAGTATTTGGTAGTCATTGGACGTCTTTGGAAGTGTTTGGTGGGCATTAGTATTCATTGGAAGTCACTGGAAATATTTGTTAGTCATTGGACGTCTTTTTTAGTGACTGGTAGTCATTGGAAGTCTGTGGAAGTGTTTGGTAGACACTGGAAGTATTTGGTAGTCATTGGACGTCTTTGATAGTGACTGGTGGTAGTCAATAGGAGCCACGGAAAGTATATGGGAGTAATTTGACATTTTTGGTGGTGTCTGTAAGTCTCTGGAAGTATTTGGTATTCTTTGGACGTCTTTGGTAGTGACTGGTAGTCATTGAAAGTATTTGGAAGTGCTTGGTAGAGATTAGTAGTTGTTAGTAGATATTGGAAGTCACTGGAAATATTTGGTAGTCATTGGACGTCTTTTTTAGTGACTGGTAGTCATTGGAAGTCAATGGAAGTGTTTGGTAGACATTGGAAATCACTGGAAGTATTTGGTAGTCAATGGACGTATTTGTACGTGACTAATGATAGTCATTAGAAGTCACGGGAATTATCTGGCATTCATTGGACGTCTTTGGTAGTGACTAGTAGTCATCGGAAGTCACTGGCAATATTTGGTAGTCATTGGACATCTTTGGTATTGACTGGTAGTCAGTGGAAGTCAATGGAAGTCTCTGGAAGTATTTGGTAGTAATTGGAAGTAACTGGTAGTATTGGTAGTCATTGGACCTCTTTGGAAGTGTTTGGAAAACATTAGCAGTCATTGGAAGCCACTGGAAATATTTGGTAGTAATTGGACGTCTTTGGTACTGACTGATGATAGTCATTGGAAGTCAATGGAAGTCTCTGGAAGTGTTTGGTAGACATTGGAAGTCACTGGAAGTATTTAGTAGTCATTGGACGTCTTTGGTAGTGACTGATGGTAGTCATTAGAAGTCACTGGATGTGTTTGGCATTCATTGGACATCTTTGGTAGTGACTGGTAGTCATTGGAAGTTTCTGGAAGTATTTGGTAGTCATTGGAAGTATTGGTAGTCATTGGACGTCTTTGGTGGTCATTGGAAGTCAATGGACGTCTCTGGAAGTATGTGGTAGTCATTGGAAGTCACTGGAAGTATTGGTAGTCTTTGTACGCCTTTGATAGTGACTGGTAGTCATTGGAAGTATTTGGTAGTCATTGGTTGTGACTGGTAGTCATTGGAAGTCTCTGGTAGCCATCGGTAGTCACTGGAAGCAGTGTTTTGTAGCCATTGGAAACCTTTGGTAGTCAAAGCTCTGCTCATTGGAAGTCTGACGTACTCATTTTTCGTGTAGATTTACCCATCAATTAGAACACATTTTTTCCGACAACTTCCCTCACCGAGAAGTGTCAACAGGCGGAAACAGAGAAATCATTATCAAAAATGTTTTTCAAGTTGAAAGCAAGAGCAGATTCGTTCTAAAAACTTTAGATAAGAACATAATACGAGGTCAAAAAAATTCTCACCTGCTCCTCCTCTTAGAAGACCGCGGCGGCGTCGGCGACCGTCTCCTGCCCCCCTTGCTTCTGCCGCCCCTCGATCGGGACCGCCGCCGCTCCTTCGCCGCCGGCTTGCGGTCTCGGGAGCGGGAGCGCCGCTTGCTGCGGCTGCGCGAACGCGACTTGCGCTTGTCCTGCGCGGTGGCGGCGTCGCTCTCCTTCTCGCTCCTCTTCTCTTTCGTCTCTCTCGACGACTTTTCCTGCAAGGAGAACGTGCGATGAAATGGTGAAATTCAACTTGGAAAAACGATGAAGCTGTCAAAGTGGAAAATGACCCCGCACTAAACTATAGGGAAAATGGCTCTCGATGAAAATCACTGAATGTTTGGTATGTTGCAGACTTTGATATACTGAACAGATATTCCATTGAACTAACCTCCAAAAATTGACAGTTTGTGAGTGGTAGTTATTTTTGCAACAAATGAAATTCTTGAAAGGTGAAGGAAATTCTATGAACAATTACATTTACAACAAAATACAAGAATAACAAATATGTTATATAAAAAATTGGAATAAATCATACAAACTGTAGATGTATAGAGCTGGACATACCTTTTCCTTATCCTTAGAATCCCTCTCCTTCGATTTCCTATCCCTTTCCCTGCTCTTCTTTCTGTCCTTAGACCTCTCTCTTGACTTCTTCTCCCTTGACTCATCCCTAGATTTCTTCTCCCTGGACCTCTCTCTAGATTTCTTCTCCCTAGACCTCTCCCTGGATTTCTTCTCCCTGGACCTCTCCCTAGATTTCTTCTCTCTAGACCTCTCCCTAGATTTTTTCTCTCTTGACCTCTCCCTGGATTTCTTCTCTCTAGACCTTTCCCTGGACTTTTTATCCCTCGATTTCGCCCTGGAAGAGCGTTCTCGGGATTTTGGTCTGCTAGTCCTTCTCCTCGACTTGGATCGGGATCTCCTTGTTTTGGAACTGGACCGTTTGGATCGCGATCTGGAGCGTTTTCTCGAACGGGATTTAGACCTTTTTTTGCGATCTCTGGACCTAGACCTGAGAGATAGAAGTAATGGTCATAAACTCCACTAGAGCAGCACAGAATAAAAATGTGACAATACCAATTAATAGATCCTCAGCCAGCCAACCACATATCTCCTATATTGGTCCAAAACTATTCAACCTGTTACCAGTAGAAATCAAAGGTGAACCATATAAAAATGTAAAAAAAGATTCACCAATGGATAGTCTTCAATAATATAATATATAATATAACATATAATTAACAAATGACATATTCTGTATGCAAAGGCATTGAAAACACAAGTTCCATACCACTTGGGTCATCTGGTCATCTCACCTATTGTACTATTCATCATAGTTTTGTAATACACTATGAAAGTCAACTTTTTCTTCTTTTCTATAAGACTAGGCTTGGATATCAAATCTCGTTTTCAAACATATTTTTGAGTATTTTTTTTTTAATTTGTTATGTCAACAAACTATTGGAAAGCACACAAATCGAAAAAATGTATGGTGTACCACCATGGAAATGTAGTTTCATTTTGAAATGATTTTCTCGTCTGTCTACATTTTTTATTTCGCCAGATAAGTGATCATAGAATTTTGCTCCCTTATAAGATGGACAATTTTCATACAGATGAGTTGAATGTTTCTGAAGTCTTATCAATTCACCGTGCTTGGTAGGATACGTATGAAAGTCACAGTTTCGATCCTAATTCTGCATTTGTTTCCCGAATAATAAAATACATTTGTAAATATAAATGCAAGGTACACACAAGATTTTATTCTCAATAAAGTGTTGCCTAAGATTATCTGTAGTCTATTCCACATATTAGCCGTATAACCCTTTTCTGTGAGACGAATATTTTGCTGAGTTTTGACGAACATCCCCAGATGGCAATATTATAAGACATATGGGAATATACCACAGCAAAGTAAACAGTTAGAAGTTGAGCCTTATTGAAATTGAACCAACATAAGCAGAGGCATTTTTTTCATTTTCATAAGGACAATTAAGTAACATGAAGCAAGTTACAAAATCCCCTCAGGGGCTCACGACTTGTGAGTACGGGAATGGCAATCCCGAGGTACCCTAGCCGGATACTCATTAATCTTCAACTTGTCTTTGATGGTATCCTCTTCACTCTTCAGTTTCCAATCTTTTTCTTCATCGGCCCCCCTTGGTCACTTCTCCTCTTTTCCTTCTCCCCTAAAGCCCAACCTCACCATAGTGCGGGGAGGACAAGCCGCGGCTGCTCGGCAGATTGAGCATTTTGGGAACATCTTTGCTATCATCACTCAGATGGGACAGTTTTGTGGACATCTGAGTGCGAGGATGGGGCAATTTGTGAGCATCTGCTTATGTGGCCGCGGATTGATAACGAGGCTCTGGCGATCCCCTCAGGGGCTCACAACTTGTGAGTACGGGAATGGTGAACCCGAGGTACCCTAGCCGGATATTCACCATACTTCAACTTGTCTTGGGTGATATCCTCTTCTCTCTTCCGTTTTCAATCTTTCTATCGGCCTTTCTTGGCCAACTTCTCTTTTCCTCTTCCCCTTCAAGCCCAACCTCACCATCAAGTGGTGTGGGGAAGGCAGGCCGCGGCCGCTTGGCGGATGAAGCATTTTGGGACCATCTTTGCTATCTTCTGCCAGATGGGACAATTTGTGGACATCTGTGGCAGGGATGGGGCGATTTGCTGATGTTTGTCTAGGTGGTCGAGGTCTGGTCAACGAGGCTCTGGCAACCTAATCCAAGCTATGGGAACCCGTGGCGATGGATGGATGGCACCGAGGAATGGTGTCGCTAACGGGGCCTCTGGGAAACAGGGCGACATCCCAGAGTAAACAGCCTTAGCCCTGTGCAGGGGGCACCACAGGGCTGGACCAACCCCTTCCCCCGTCACTCGTAGGAGAAGGAAAACTTTTGGCCTTCTTCGTAGACGAGAACAGGGATCGGAAGAGCAATCTTCAGGAACCTGAACGAAAAGGGTCTTGAAGTTTCCCTTAATAGGCACCATGAGTCGTATGTGGTAAAATTGATAACGGCATGTAGGTGAGATACAATGGGCCACTAGGCCTAAGTGTCGTCGAAGCCTACAACGGGGTGGAGTGTTTAGTGGGTATACCATGGAGGGGACTCCCACACTATCATAAGGGGGATTGGACCCATATGATGTCTATAAAAGATTTCAACCACCTCGGCGAAAAAAAAAAAAAAAAAAAAAAAAAAAAAGTTACAAAATGTTGATATTTTTGTTGTTGTCAATAAAAAAATACCAAGTATATGCTATCGTTGTATTCCAAATTGAATGACACATAATTTCCAATGACAATATACAGGGGTGCCATTTGAAAATAAAAAGTGGGGGTAGCTGTCAGAGAACTGTGTAATGTAATAGAATTTTTTTATATCTCATTAGGAAGGTTGTAAATAAGCAAGATATTGTCTGTATACGATAACTTGGGACACCCGGTATTGTAATTTCAGACAGCTGTGGCAATTTTTGGTTGAATAAATCATTCAAGATCATTCCAAAACATTCCTGAAACAATTGACAATATATCTAAACACTCCAAAATACAAAAACAGAACATTTTTTTAATCTTCAAAACCTCTGAAATTATTCTGGAAAAATCCCGGAATTTCTGGAACATTCAAGAAAGTACTAGAATATACTCAAAATCTCTTGAAAATTCAGATTATTTTAAAACATTCCTGACTATTCTATTCTAGAACAATGCTGAATATTCTAGAGGATTATAGAACATTCAACAAACATTTCTGAACATTCTTGAGTATTCAAAAACTTCAATTCCTGAAATCTCTGAATATAAATGAAACATTTGAGAACATTCATGAATATTTTGAAAGATTCCTGAAACTCTTACAACAGAGAACATTGAAAACCATATTCCTGATATATTTCTGAGCATTCTGAAAAATTCAAGAACCTCACTGTCTTTCACATTCAATCATTTTATTCATTTTAGAACATTCTTGAGATTTCTAGAACATTTTGAATCATTCTCAATCTCAAAGATTCCTGAAGCATTTGTGGATATTTATAAACATTTTGAAACTTACCTGAAACCCCTAGAAAATAGAGAAAATTCAGAATAATTCAAGAATATACCTAAAAATTCTAGATTATTAAAAGAATCCAGAAACATTTGAGAACATTACTATCCATAACATTCAAATATTCAATTTCTAGACATTCTGGTGGATTGGTGGTGGTGGATGGTGAATTTACTTATGATTACGAATATAAAGGATATAGATTAAACCCAAATAGAAGTAAAATTATACCTTCTCCTGGAAGTGGATCTGCGCCTGTGTGACCTTGAACGTCTTCTGGACCGTGACCTTGATCTGGACCGTCTCCTACGCCCGCGAGATCTAGACCTGGACCTCTTAGCACTCCTCTTATCCTTTGTCAACATTCCAATCACTGGTTCAATGGAAGCATTTATCATATTCTGTGCTTCTTTGAATCTAGTCATTGCCTCTTCAATTTCCTTCTGGGCAGCCTCATTACTCTTAGTTTGTGGCTTGGTTATGGGTTGTGTGGCATGTTGAACTTCGATTGGGAATCCCTTCAGTTCTGACCCACTCAGTTTCAGAGCATTAACTACACTACCTTGCTCTGTGAACTCAACTAGCATGTGAGTTTTCTCTTCAGAGTCTTTGCAAGTTCTCATGTACTTCACCTCACCAGCCTGACTAAAGAAGTCTATTATGTCATTGTTGCTCAGTGAGGTATTGTAGTTAACCAACAGGACTGTTCTCCTGGTTTCCTCAATTTTTCTGGAATCGTAACTGGCTGGCAATGGGGGATAAGGGGCCAACTCATTTGAAGTCAAATTTTTGTCAGAAGTCAATATTACTTGTTCACTGCCACTTCCATGGACAGTGTTTGTTACATGAGAAGGTAACATGGGTTCATTGACTGTCAAACCAGGTACAATGGTACCATTCCTGGTCATTTCTAGAGCATAATATTCGTCTGGGATTTCACCAGCAGATACAGGCAACACTATCAATGCTCTGTCAATGAAAACGGTATTGGTCATATGCTGAGCAATACCTACAGTAGAGATATCTACGAATTTTATGTAGCATATTCGTGAAGTTACCGGACAGGACACGTCTCTTATGGTAGGATACAAACGAATGTCTTCGACTTTGCCCAAATAACCAAACAATACTTGCATTTGATCTTTGGTAGCTTGAGGGGCTATGTTCGTTACTTGAACAACCTTCGTCGATCCCACAGCCATTTTGATGCCGGATTCTGAAACAGGTTTATGGTTTATAAATTATAAACAATTTTACTTCTACATCTTGGAACAATTTGTCAACACGCTAATTTCAGTTTCAGTAACTTCTTCACATAACCCACTTCCCAGAAATGATTTACAGAAATGAAGTTGTGCCAGTTGTGGGTTGTGGTTGCTGTGAGACGTGAGTAGTGTGAAGTGCGACTAGGACTAGTGTGAGCTGACTGAGCTGAGATGAGATTGTGATTAGGTTTGTTCGCGACCATCAGAAGCATGCGCAGTTCCACGGAACTTGAAAAATGCGTACTGTTCTGTGAAACTGCGCATGCTCCTGATTTCGGACTGATTATATTCTGAACGCGAACATGCCTTTCATCCCTCTCGTATGCAGCAGTCTGGGCAAAACGAATTCATACCTCCCACTATGCAGAACAATGACGCAGTTATCAATCAAACGAACGCCAGCTGTCAATGTGTCAATTGTCAAATTGAAATGGATGTGCGAGAGTTGATATCATTTTTGTATAGTTTTAATTCCAATATATTTCGCTATTCGAATAATAAATACAACAAATTTAAAGAGCGCGTTTGATAGAGAACCATTTTTTCAATTAACACGCGTGAAATTTCCATTTCGATCAGTAAGTGGTGTCATTTCCTACTGTCATTGGTTTCGTAACACGTGAAGTGAAATTTGAGGTTGAGGTACTTGAGGTCATCCGAATACCTTCAATATGGAATCGTGGGGTAAGTCTGGGCGTAAAATCGAATATTTCGAGTTGAAATTCACATCTGGTTGTTTCATTTTCAGACGATGAAGATTTTGAACTTGCAGCAGCACCCGGGGTTCCCCCCGTTGTAGTGAATAAATGGGAAGGTGAAGATGAAGATGATGAAGTTAAAGTAAGTATTTTTGGACATTACTCATCATTTGAAATCATAAGTATATGACCAAAATTCACTTGGTCCTAGTAGAATTGAAAACTATGTTGACATTCTGCTGTATGGCCAGAATACTACTGTATTCATGTTTGCCCCATGAACAACTTTTAGAGGTCATTTTGTGATTATTGAGACTTAATAGGGGAAATTCTCGGGGAAATCACATTTATGTTTATTCAGGAGAGCTGGGAAGATGAAGATGAAGAAAAGCAAGAAAATACAGAGTCTGCTAGTGATGTGAAGAAACCTAAAAAGAAAACATTACAAGAAAGAATAGCAGAAAAAGAGGTAATGAATGGTACTCTAAAATATACTAATTGAAAAATTAACTGAAATTTCAACCTTAAATATATCAATGGATCATTATCATTAATTTTTAGAGACTTAAAAGGGAAGAGATGGAGAGAAGATTGCGTGAAGAAGAGGAAGAAGATATATCACCTGAAGAAAGACTGAGAAGGCAACAAGAGTCAGATTTGAAACTGGCCTTAGAAACAACTTTTGGTGAAAGTAAGGATACCTTGGGAGCTTTGGATGACCTCAGCATACCTGATACAAAAGAGGAATTTGAAGCCTTCTCAGAAGCCCTATCCAAAAAGTTGACTCCCCTTTCCAAGAATGTAGAGTATCCCACCCTTGTAGAAAATTTGACAAGAAATTTATGTGCCACATGTGAGTAAACAAATTATTTATAGTTTTCAATACAAACAGTTTTGCTGATTCATGTTGCAAATTGATATTACATTCTTCTTTGATATATTTACCACAAGATTGATGAAATATCAAATTTAATTTTTCATACTTGCAGTGACATCTTTAGATATCAAAAAGGTCAAAAATTCACTAGACAATTTGTACTTGGAGAAACAGAAAATAGAAAAAGGTGACAAAAATAAAAAGAGCAAAGGTAAAGGAAAGGCTAGACTCAGAATGGAAGGAGACAATGTAAGTCTGAATTTTAGATACATCAACATACCTATTTTATTTTTTGTATTTTTTTTTTTCAGCAATTATCTCAGCTCTCAGCTTACACTAATGATTATGATGAATTTGATGATTTCATGTAGCAAAAATCAAATATTTAGAATACAATTATCATTTTCAAGTTATTTGAATCAACTTGTTATACAAATATTCTAAATTGATTCATGGGAGTTTCTCCAACTACAGGATTTGTACCAAATTAGTAATCAATTACATACTTTTGTCATTTATCATTCATTTTTTGCAGCTTATTTGTCTATACAAATTGGAATATTTGTTCCTTATTATACAATAATTAAGGTTTATGAGCAATGTTATCATTTTAATAAAACAACAACAAAGTTTTTAATTCAAATTAACCAAAATTGAGCAATTTTCAATGTATGTGAGGTTGTTGTTACAGTCACTGTATCCTTACATTTCCTTATGATTCAATCAAAGATTTGTCAAAATTGTAATCATCATCAATGATATTCCACTGGATTTTATTGTAACAAAAATTTTGAATTAAACAGCAATTTTGGAAAACTTGTTTTACTAACCTGTACAAAAAAGAAAACTATATCAAAATTACAGTGGCAAAAGTCTCCAACCCATGCACAGAATAAAACTCCGTCAACCATCTAACGCAAGCAGTCAATTTCTGATTGTAACTGTGCATGTCTGTAACAATGGCACCATCTCGGTTTTGTCCCAAAACGGACAAAAAACTGCTTCTACAGGGTGCGAAACGGGACAACACATTCAACAACTGGCTGCCTAACCAGCCATGATATTGTTCTAATGTTTCCGTGTAGGCCTTACTGAAAAACGGCGTTAGATCACTGCTACTACGATGGCTGAATGTATCATCTATGACACATTGAAAAAAGTTCGACAAAAAATGCAGCTCTCTGGAAAAGGAATTATTTTAGCTGACCAGATTGCAGTCTACCGCCCCAGGGCCCAGTAAACCATTGTGTCATTAAATCTACTCCCACATTTTCTGAACATACTGGAAGGATGCACTGAAATAGTCATTGTGGGCCTATAGATACATTCTGTTACGCCTACATTTCGTTAGCCCCACATTTCGATATTTTCACAGTCTCCGAACATACCCGAAGGATGCACTGTTGCCATATATGCTTTATGCGTATTTTTCCTGAAAATATACTTTTTAGGAAGACGGTTCATTCTGGCTGAGTTAGCTTGGATTGTTTAGAAAAAGTTTTCTTCCTTGTTCTTTCAAGCAATTTTTCGAAAAATATATTTTCTAGGAAGGTTTCATTCAGGCCGAGTTGGGTTCTATTGTTTTTTGTTTGCTCTCTCAAGTATTTTCAGAAAAATAAACTTCCTAGGAAGGGGGCAGGGTTACTAAGAATGTTCAGAAAAAGTAGTCTCCTATCTTATGCAGATTGTCCTTCCTCATATTCGGAATTCAAGGAGCCATGGAGGGAATTTCTATAGCTAGACGGTTGTACTAGATACCGTACACGATGTAAAAGTAACGCACATTGTGCACATCAATGACGGCTAAATATCTAGACTGTCTGACGGGATACCCTTTCAGACAGTCTAAATATTTAGCTGTCATTGCCCACATCTGACAAAAGTGCATCCTTCGGATATTTTCATATATGTACTATTTCGGTATATGGCTCATCGCCTATACGATATCTCAACAAAAATGGGACCGACGTGAGAGGTACTTTTTGAATCTATAAGGACGGAAAGTGAAGGATGGAAACAGCTGAGATGTTTATAATCTCAGAAACAGCCATATCAACGGCCATATTGGTTTGACAAGTTTCGTGGGAGTAACGAAATGTGGGCATAAAGCAGCGCAACCGTTGCAAACAAATTCAAGACAAAACAGGCACATCTAATACATGATAATATAGACATCAAAATGTGATCTCTGATAAAAGTACATATTAAGTTGAACCATTTAATGGTTGACTGGGCCAATGCATATTGTAAAATATACCTTCTTAACCACATAAGAGCATCGGTAGCCGTGACTTCCCCTTCATGTTGCTCCTTCAAAATCATGTCCGTCAGAAAGCCGTTGTTCTCTTTGTTTTCCTCATATTTGAGGCGAAGTTTCTGAATATTCGTGTTCATATCGTATGTGACGAAAGAAAACACTTTTCCGAATCTCTCTGCCAAACCAACGATCGCTGTGGTTGCATCTAGGAATTCAGAGGTTCTCATTTGATCTTCAGCATCTGGGAACTGCGTTGAAATAGTTAATACCAATGGTGGATCAGGAATACGAGGGCTAGCACTTGATCTGGGTATCGAGTTCGATCTGGACATTGTTGGTCAGGTTTTCAATAATAATTATTGTTTTCACTTAATCAGCAGGAAGAAATTTTGAAGTGATGCCGGAAAAATTGCCGCTTTCGTTCGAATTTGACAGTAATGACACTGCGATGACAGCTGCAATAATTGTTTCCATGCGGCAATTGTGCATAGCATTTTAATATTTTAATAAAATCGCGAAATGTATTCCAAAATTGAGATCAAAATACTGTAGCATGGCGTTAGCCCACTGCGTTCTCTACGCTTTCAAGGATGTGAATATACAAGGTAATTATTTCAAGAACCAGCCTATACAGGGTGATTCACATATAATGTGCAATCTCTGAAATACAGATAGTTCACACCAAAATATGAAGATTTAGCCTTACTTGCCTTGTGAAAATGTTGCTGCTTTAGGAGATACAGAGGGTATGTTCAAGGGGAAGATTTTATTTAGATTTTTTTGTGATGAGAAATACGAATTCGTAACTTATTTTGTGATTGCCCATAGAGGGCGCTAAAGGCATATCTTCTTTGTCCATTATAATCTCCTAAACCGTGCCTAAACCCTATTCCAACATTTTTATAAGGTAGATTATGCTAAGTAATAACATTTTATAGGTAGTAAATATATCTAAATCACATAAATATGGAATATTACATTGCCTGAGTCTGTAGTGTAGAATAGCAGCAGAAAATCTTCATAATTATGTGTTTAATATCTGTAGTTCAGAGATTGACCATTCTTTATTAATGAATCACCCAATATAAATATATTATGTTGATATACATTTTTTATTTTTCATATAGTTAGCAAACAATAAAAATGCACCAGATTAACTCTGGCAAAATATTCCATTTTATAACTTTGATTCTTGTTTGGCCTTATAGTTTGCCAGTTGATTCCTTAGATCCCTTCGCAATATCTTACCACTAGGGTTCTTAGGAATAGAATCAACAAATATAACTCCTCCTCTCAACCTTTTCTGTGGGGAAACTTTTTCTAAAAAAAAAAAAAAAATAATGTGTCTAGTTTACCGCCAGTCGTGTACTGTTAGTATCTACTCACTAGCTACAAAGTCTTGAAGTTCTTTTTCTGTGACATTTTCCTCGTCATCTTTGACCACAAATGCTATAGGAAGTTCTCCAGAAATATCATCAGGAAGCCCAACGACTCCCACGTCAATGACTTTTGGGTGTCCCAACAATACTGCTTCCAATTCAGCTGGTGCCACCTTGAAAAAAATATATAGACTATGCCAACGCGATTCAAGGTGCCTCACCTGGTATCCCTTATATTTTATAAGTTCTTTCAACCGATCAACAATATAAAAATACTCATCATTGTCATAGTAGCCCAGATCGCCAGTTTTGAGCCAACCATCAGTTGTGAAGGTGTCTCGTGTTGCTTTAGGGTTATTGTAGTACCCTTTCATCACAGATGGACCCTTAACACAAATTTCGCCAATTTCATTTGGTCCTAAAGATTTCCCAGTTTCTGGGTGCCTCACTTTAATGGTCATGTATGTCACAACTTTGCCACTTGAACCGGATTTATTAGTTACTCCTGGTGTCATAGAAGTAACCGCAAGATTAGTTTCTGTCAGGCCATATGCTTGTCTAACTGCTTTTATGTTCAGCCTACAATGTGGAAGATTTAAAATTTTCAGAATGTTGAACCATGTCTATAGAGATATAAAGGCCGGTATACCAGTTTCCTGATCTCTTTACCTTTTTCTGAGAATAATATCAATGTCTTTGTTCAATGGAGCAGCGCCACAGAAAGTTTCTTTGACACTGGATAAATCATATTGATCCAAATCAGGAGTTTTAGCCAAAAATATTGCTAATGGCGGTGCTAGAGCCAGTACAGAAATTTTGTAGTCTTGAATTGATTGAAGGAAAACGTCTGGTTCAAATCTCTTCAGGACTACCAAAAACTGCATATTATAAATTGAAGATATACCCATATTGAGGCCGAATCCATGAAAAAAAGGCATCAAACCAAGAAGATTTTGTTCTTGATCCGTTGTCATACGAGGATCTCTAAAAGAAAAAAAAAATCGCAATAAAAAAATAACACATCGCCCCACCTGACCGCAAAACACTTCTGAGCGATTTGTTATTGTTTCACACTCAAGTAAAAAACAAAATGTGAACCAATGAAAACAAAATTAATAGACCGCTATGACAGCTTTCATGAACTCCGATAGGTGGCGTACGCTTATCTTCTATCGCGAATACTTGAGTTTATCAATTTTCTCTCCAACTGTTGGACATTTAGACATAACCTAGTCGCAGCTAGACGCTAGACGCCTCTCTTACCGAGATTGAACCTGCCGAACAACCAGATTTTTATGCGTCAGCATGACTCCTTTGGGTAAACCAGTAGTTCCAGAGGAGCACAACACGAAAGCAACGTGTTCTTCTGCATTTTCGTTGAATACTCGGAAATTTTGAGGCAAAACCATTTTGCCACGCAACTGACTGTCTATAAATTCTTCCAGAGTTTCGGTTCCTGAGACACGTTCTTGAGAATCGATAATGATGATTTTCTCGAGGAAGTCCAGCTCATTTTTCAGTATCAGGAACTTTTCGGCTACTTCTTCAGAACAGAATATTACCTTCGGTTTGGTAATGTTCAAAGCATGTTTCAGTTCATCCTCAATGTAATAGTGATTCAAAGGAGCGACTAACGAGCCGATGAACATTCCTGCCAAGACAGGAATGAAAAATGTCAAGTTATTCTCGCTGCAAATGGAAATAGCAGAGTCTGGAGAGCAGCCGTAAATACGTAAAGCTTCTGCCAATTTGCAGGATTCATCCAGTAGAGTTTTGAAAGAGATTGTCTTTCCAGAATAGACATCAACCTACAAAAAAATGGAATACCTATTATATTATTTTCCTCGAATCGAAAACTATACAAAATTTGCATACTTTTTTCTTTCTTTACTTAAGACACGACGGTCGTAGATTTATGCAGAGTATATTATTGTTTATTTTTCGTGATATTCACGTCAAGCATTTTAATTTGCTTACCATGGCATCGTGATTTGCAGTATTTGTTAATAGGCTATCGAAGAGTAATTTTCCGAGCGTGTCATCTGGAATGGGTTCAAGTGGTTCGGGCCCATGAACCAAAAATGTATCATCTTCAATTTCCACTGTCATTTCGATGTGAACACTGAACCCAGCAAACTGATAAAACGTACCCACTAGTGATTATAAAATATGATTCTAATCAACTCAAGTGGTCGTCATATTATACGTCATATGATAATGATAGAATAAATGTATTTATTTGTTTTATAATCAACTTGAATTATTATCGAAAATGTACACAGTACACAGTGGCAAGCATCACGCTAGTATGCATTTTATTCATATTCCGTCATTCCACAGAGTCCATCAGCTAATGTTGTTAATGTTTCCTCAAAATTTTAGTGTTATTACCAGCATACAATATTCAATATTGATGGAACATATTTCCTCTCTCCAAAAGCTAGCTGAACGGTGTCGGTGGGTGGTCTGTGAGCTGAACTCTTGAAGATACTTCAAACTGGAGGGGCGTTTTTCAATTTTTCATTCCATGGAAAAAGTGGGCATATTTTTCATCAAATTCAAGCAAAGAACATTAAAAAACAATACTTAAAATGTGTCAATAGGCCTTTTCATTCAGATGACAAATGACTATCTCTGTTTTACATCTCACATCCAACGACAGTGGCGGCCATTTTCACCGAAACACTTACACCACAGTACCACACTCTTCAGTAACGAATAAGTAACGTTTTTTAGAATTAAATTATTATCATACAATCAATACACACCAGGAATATAAAAACAAAAATACTATGTTGTTATTGTTGTTTCTCAATGACGAATTCGATATGGCCAATCAGCATTTTGTGTTGGAACTATAGCCAATGAGCCTTTACCTTCGCATTACCCAATAAACTTTTGGATCTAAAAACGAGCGCATGCGTCTTAAAAAAATATCTAGATGAAAGGGCCTATTGGCATGTCAGTTTCCTCCGAACCACTGGATGCTCGCAAAGCGATTTGTGCATTTTAGTACATTTTGATGGATTTTCATCAACCATCAACATTCCAGTGGAATTTTGCAACAGTTTGATGGTTTCTTCGATTCATGTGCATGAAAAAATGTTGGAAAGAAAAACGCACCCCAGCTCTATCGCCTCTATCACTAGAAAGTTTGATGTGATTCACAATCAATCAATCTCTGCGGATACTTTTTATCTGCTAGTCCAAAGTCCAGGGAATGATGGAAATAGGGTATATGCAATGATTGGCAACAATGCTTCAACTGATATGAAAATACCTGCTGAGGTTTGATGAGACATCATAAATTAATGAAGAAAATTTAAAAAAAATAATCTTCGACCATTTTCAACTTGATAACCAACAAATCATCAAATTCATAATTCAAAGTTCAACAGTTTTCAATAAAAAAACATAACCTTGCACTTGAAAAATCATCAATGAGGAATAAAAAAAAGTTTATTCTGTATAAAGCTATACAATAAATCTGTAAATTAATACATTTTGATTTTCAATAAGGAAAAGCATCCCTAATATCCTGTGGCAACTTCCCTATCAGGGCACCATGATCTACCCCCTTGGCTGTAGCAAATATACCCTGTGCATCTGGGAAAGGGGCATCCTTATCATAACTATAATGTTTGCCATGGATGTCAGTCAAGCTACCACCAGAAGCTTCTAAAATCGCTTCTGGGGCACAAGTGTCCCATTTTTTACAACCTCTGCTAGCATAAACATATGCATGAGCCCTACCCTCTAGAACTACAAGTACCTAAACAAAGAAAATATTTTTCAACACATATAAGGAATCCATTCAATAACACTATGATGACCTGTTTAAATCTTGAACTCACCTTGTGACCAGCACCTCCTACACTGATTATTTCATCAGGACTTAGGGCTTCCAGTGCATTGGACACCATTTTGTCCCTGTGTGACCTGGAAGTGGTAATCACAAACTTATCCTTAGGTGGGTCCACAGGGGTGAAGCCTCCCACCCCAAGCCCTACCAGACCCCACAAGGTCCTGCCGGGGGTATCCTTTACAGTTTTGTAATTGTGGTAAGGCTGATGGATAACACCTGCTACAGCTCTGCCTTGCACTGCTATACCAATAAGTACAGTGACATGATCCAACAGACCCTGGAATTACAATGTTTTCAACACTGAGACTAACTAACAGTGGTGGGGAAACATACCTCAGTGTACTCTGATGTACCATCCAAGGGGTCTACCCAAACAACAATATCATCTGGTGATGTGTTAATGAAAGTTGGTGGACAATTCAAATCTAAAATGCTTTGATCACTCTCAGTCACAAGCCAGTCACTTGGCACCTGAAAATAATCAATTAGCTTAGTTTTATTTTCTCTAGTATTTGCATACCTCATTTGTTCCACCTAGAGGTCCTTCTTCACCAATAATTGTAACATTAGGAAATTGTTTGGTGAGTGAAGCAACTATGCATCTTTGTGCAGAACGATCCGCTTCAGTTTGCACATCATTTTTCTCTGTGCCCTATAAAGAAAATTTCGTTACTTAGAAGGTGTAGAATGAAAACATTGTGTTTGGTACCTTTTCAATAATGCCTAATTCTCCTCTAGTCATAACATCTTTGATGATTTTACCAGCTCGAGCAGAAGCAGTTACGGAGGAAGCTAAAAGACGCAGTATCAGGGGGGAACTTTGAGCCATGATGCTAAGCTATGCTATGATCTTATGAGAGTGCTATATTATTGTGATAACTGGCTTCGCAGTTTACTGAGGATTTAGCAAGGTAAACATTTCAGTCATGCACTATTTATTCGATTTTGATAAAAAACCTAAATCCTTGTGTTCAAATATATTACGTGAATTTTATCAAGCGCAACTAATAACAAAATCAACTTTTTTCAATAAGTTGGGTTAAGATTGTTAAGAAAAAAATTTTAAAATCATGACATGGAACAAATCATGCATGGAACCATAGCTTTGGACATGGAACATTGGAACTTTTGAACTAATAAAATTGACATTAGGACAATTGACATTCTTCTTCCTCGCGATTTACACGAATTCGTTTTGCCCAAACATACGTATGGGCAATTTGTAATGACCAATCAGAGCGATTTAGACTATGGCGGGGAATTCAAATCTCTGATATTGGCGGTAAATTCGAATAACGAACATTTTTCTACAAGCAGCATAGACACTCAACAGGCAGGAAAGGTGTACTTTCTCTGCCTAAGCAGGAAAAGTTTGTTGCTATGCACCGTTCCAAGTAATTTGATTGAAATTGGTAATCAAAATTGACGCTGACATTGGATGAACACAATATGGAGTTTTCAATAAAAAATAACACAAAATTGGTTTTATAACATTTAGAGAAAGAATTACGATTCACACAGCAGCAAAAATGTTGATTCGATCATAGAACACAATAATTCAATTATTTTGCTCTTCCCTCCAAGGTTCGTATTCACATTATCCAACGCCAGTACTTCGGATGTGTGGAAAAAAATGAAAAAATGATCAAATATCTTTTTGTTCACTGATATTAAAATACGTAATAGAAATTATTCTTTAAAAAAAAGTTTGGAATAAAATTGTTGCAGTCTGAAACCAGAGGGGGGGGGCAGTACCTCTCTATTACACGTGGTAGCTCTGTGTCCCAGCAACTTTGGGACACCCTGTATAGGAAATAATTGATTATAACAGCATATACACCAATCACCAACTTTTTAATCCAACTTAGGTTGGAAAACTTTCAATGCTCAATGCGTGTCCAACGTAAATCGTCACCCCTGTATACCTGCGTCGACTGACAATGTCAACACACGGTTTCGTGTGGTTTCGTCTAGAAAAATAAATTATCTAAACAAAACGAATATCGATTTGACGGGGCTGCCGCTTAACATATCGTTAGTGCATGGTCATATATTTGTCGGTATCTAGGTCTGGTCTGGCCATGACCAGGTCAGTTTTTCACATTCTTATCCACATCTATCAAAAACTTCCATTATTTTGCAATGTAGCAATATGACAGCATTCGAACAATTCATCACAATTTAATACATTCACCGGCAAAACTGGTCTACAAAAATTTTTTGCGAAATGGATCGTCCTGTAACTTTTTTAATTCTTGTCTTACTCTGGTGAAATTTCGACCAAAATCGTAGATTTATGTTTCCAAGTGTTAGCCTGAATTTTAATAATTCTTGAACAAATTTGATGGCTTAATCTTATATACAGGGAAAAACAAAAGTAAATCTTCCACTCTCAACTTCTTAAAACTCTGTGGCAAAGGTGAGTATGGTTACACTTAGCTTGATCATGTTTTGGATTGAAGTGTGATATCCCTTCCAACCACAATAGTTTTTGATTCACGTCAATATATCTTCTTTTCACAAGAAGATACACGTGTGTTTCAAGAAAGCATGGATTTGTTTAATTTCTATTCAACATAAATCACCATTTCCCATTTCTGTTTCATGCTTCATATCATGTTTTGGATTGAAGTGTGATCCCCTTTCGTCCCTTCTCAACATAATAGGTTTATTACGTCAACAACTTCTTTTTAACCCAAATCGTGCCAACGTCCTTTTAAAAGGTCGTTGAAGAAATCTTTATTTTTCAAAGTTTCAACTACTTGTATGGAGAAAGTGCTATGGTATGTTGATATAGTAGGATAGCTTGGATATATTTTGCACATTACCGATATTTCAGATCTTGATCAACTCTAAATAATATTGATTGTTTTATCGAAAGTTCCAATCGTGCTCTGTTGAATAACTGGAGGTAAGGATAATTGAATTATCAAAACTAAAATCAAATCTTCATGCTCTGATCATTTATAAGTCATTTTGCTCGTGAATTTTTCCTACAAGCCCTACAATATAAGCCCTACAGACGTCACCGTCCTTTTTAAAGGCCAGTGGTCCAAAATCATACTATTAAAATTTTCAATGATTAGAAAAAACCTTTGTCATTCAATGAATTGTTAGACGAAATTGTGCATTGCAATCATGCCAGACGACTAGACGGCATAGCTGATGTCTTTCATCCATACCCCCAATAACCTATGCTAATGAAGTAGTTACCGCTGAAGCCTCCGGCGATGACGAAATAGTTACAATGGAGAACCTCCTATAGGTGCTCAATTGAATGCTCATACTGAACCTATTAGCGATGATGGTGAAGATGAAATTCCTATGTATAATTTTACGAAATACAAAAACATGCAAAGATGGACCAATATTATTTTCGTCGATCGCTAGCTAAAGGTATTTCAGAAACTCACGAGGAAAATACCAAGTGAGGACGTGTACGATCGAATGTTAACGGGAATGAATTCTCACGATTTGAATATTGGGATCATGTATGTATATATCAATCAAGTGCAACGCATAACGTAGATTTGCACCTTGAAACTTGTTGCACCTTTTTGTCGATGATAAACTGCCTGCTCCTTTGATCTAGTAGCTATTTGCGCCCGATGTCACTCCAATTTCTGTCGTGTCAAGTTTGATTGATTGGTATGGTTCACGCGTAAATTAGCAAGATGAGCCGTTTTAGGAAAATTTCGTCAGAAAAAAACACGAAAATATGAGAGAATCACTTCCGCAAGCTACCAGTTATACGGAATCATCAATGAAGGTAATAATTATTGTTGTTTATTTGTATATTGTCGTTGATTGATCTTGCCAAAAAGCACTACATCTTTTTTTATAATAGGCCTTTTCATCTAGATATATTTTTAAGACGCATGCGCTTCTTTTTAGATCCAAAGGTTTATTGGGTGATGTGAAGGTGAAGCCTCATTGGCTATAGTTCCAACACAAAATGCTGATTGGCCATATCGAATATGGCGGGTATTATATTGACGTTCTGTCAAATGTCAACAGTGTCAACCACCATGGGCATTCGTCATTGAGAAACAACAATAACAACATAGTATTTTTGTTTTCATATTCCTGGTGTGTACTAATAATTGTATTATAATAATTTGATTCCAAAAAAACGTTACTTATTCGTTACTGAGGAGTGTGGTACTGTGGTGTAAGTGTTTCGGTGAAAATGGCCGCCACTGTAGTTGGATGCGAGATGTAAACAGAGATAGTCATTTGTCATCTGAATGAAAAGGTCTATTGGATAAATTTCCTCACTAATTCAAATATTTTTCATCAGTTATTTCTCTCGAAAAACTGACATTTGACAATTTTTCAGGTCAGTTTTTCTCGTAAAATTACCAAGAGAAATTTATCCGATAAAAAAAACTCTTGTGTTTTTAATGTTGATTAAATGTGCGCAAAACGCTTCGAAAAGTTTGTATTGTGTCTATCAAGAGGCTATAAAAAACAGGGAGAATTTTTTTTGTGACATCCCAAGGATTTGTGATATCCCAAGGATGTTCTATGAAAGTTCTATTTATCTGTGAACAGAACATCGCAATGCTGATTCAATGTCTCGACATATCGTACTCTTGACATTTCGGAGAAGTTTTTGTGCTCGCTGGGTTTCAACACAGGGCGTTAAGATGTTAAGCATGAAATTGTAACTTTTGTTTTTCCTTGTATGATAATGATTAGGTCATCAGGTCTTTTTGGTACCTGAAATTCAGGTTGACATTTCGAAACATGAATCTACGATGTGGGCGGAATTTCACCAAATTCTGACAGGAATTGAAAAACTTGTAATCAATTTGGCTAATGGCCGGTTTTGTTTTCGTTACCCGAATATCATTGATACCAGGGCAACCGTTTGAAAGTTATACATAAAATATACAGGGTGTCCCGAAATTAGTCTGCCAAACTCCACCAGCGGCTTCTACGACCAAGAATAGAAAGAAAAGGGACTCCTGAAGATGATATTTCTTGAATATTTCCGAAATGCCACGTGATAAAATTTGCCACAAGAACTAAACTTTCCATGCTCAAAGCGGTGAACATAAAATCATTTCAAAGTTTAATTCAGGAGTGTATAATACAGGGTGGGACTACATTAAATATTGCTCAAACTTTTTCGTATGCATATTTTTTGACAACTTAATCTCGGATTATAAAAATCCACACCGTTTCACAAAAAAGGTGCTCTGGTTCCGCATCGATCAGATGTATCATTTTCGAGTGGAATATCGATTTAAAAATATTGATACACTCATATTTCATGCATAACGTTGCCAATTGACAAATCATAGTGGCTATAAAAAAAATCAACTACTTTCTTTTCACCAAACAATCTCATAAAAGCGCGAAAAATAGAGAAGTGATGATAAAAAAACTACTTCAATTTTTGTGCATTTTTTTTTTCATTTCCACTACGACTCATTGCAATGTTATGTATAATACCTTAGATGTAACAATATGTTTAAATCGATTTTACTCGATAACGATACATCTGATCGTTACGGAACAAGATAACCTTTTTTCTGTAAAGAGGTGTGGATTTTTATAACAAAAATTTTTGAGCAATAATTGATTCAGTCCCGCCCTGTATTATACACTCCTGAGTGAAATTTTGGAATGATTTTATTTTCACTGCATTAGGCTTTTATACCAAATTGCATCTTTTTATCACATGGAGTTTCGGAAATACTAAAAAAATATAATCTTCAGGAGTTCCCCTTCAGGGGGCCGTAGCTCCCTTAGCAGACATTATTTCTCGTCTCATGTTAATGGGCGTGTACATCTTAGTAGAACTTTTAACTCAAACCATGTTTATAATGCTCCTTTTATACATGAATAATGATTGACGACATAATTCGATCGAAAAATTAACTGGAATGTTTTATTTTTGGACATAAATAATAGTACCTTCTGAAAACGGACCCTCTTATGACGTAAAAACCTCATCTCGCCATAGTTGAAAGAAAATACCAAACGCCCGACGGAGACTGAGGCAACTGATATATTAATTCTTTCAACTGTGATATCGCGCTAATTCACTCTGTCAGAAATCATGTATCATTCATCTCTGTCTGGAATAGTCTTGTTTCAGTATTAGGGTTTTGACGTCACATCATCGCCTCGTTTTCAGAGGTCCAAAAAATCGGGGATTTCAATAATTTTTTATAAAACGTAGGGAGCTCACAGCAAGAAACGGTTTGCGGTGGTGAGCTAGTTTGGGTCAGTTCTATCGAATTATGAAATAAAAATTTTTTGTGATACAAGCCCATTGGAACTTTTTTCGATATTTTCGATCGTATAAGCTGCTGGTGAAGTTTGGCAGACTAATTTCCGGACACCCTGTATATTTTTTATTTACACTTTCAGGATCAATAACTCCGTAAACGTAACGAAGTGAATTCTACCAACTCTGGCGACTTCAGGAATCATTCGCATCGACCCAAGAAACACCCTGTATTCGTTTTACGGTTTGCTCGCAACTGCAAGATCCTGAAATGGGAAATGAAGAACGCACTTTTCAAGTTCAAGACTACCATTTCTTCGGTTGCATGCGAGATGCAAGTTTAAAGCACTTGTTTAAATCGCCTATTGCTCATTCGAGTAAACGATTCCGTATCGAAAATTGTTTCTTTAACCCAAGATAAAGTTATTGCAATAGTTTATCAGCGAGGAACAGAGATCGAAAAATCGCCCTAAGCAACAGTGTGTCGCTGTTGAAATAAATAAAGATTTTCGAACAATAGCGAATACCATGTCCGTTTGTCAGTACATAGAAAACGCAGAGGAAGACCTCGACATTACTTTTTACAAGAAAGTAGGAAACGATTTGCCTGTGATTAACAGTTTGGACGATTTGATCGAACAGCTGCGAATAATTTTCGAAAGTGATTCTGTGGATGTCGATCTGGTACATTATGTGCTCAAATCGTACAAATCGAATCCAGCCGATTGGAAACGGTTTGCCAAATTCGATCGATACAGGTGAGAAGATTTTTTTCCTTCTGTTTTTGGATGTATGATAAATTGATATTCATCATACAGGACGTAGAAAGAAATTTAGGAATTAAGAAAACCTAATCACGAAACTGCGAATGAGGCCTATAAAAATGACTAGTTTCCATTGTTCAAGTTTGAACCCCTTGATCGGGTGAAAGTATTATAATCATTATTATAAAAATGGATATACAGCGTGTCTAATTTCAAACGGCCCCCCCCTCTACAGTGTGTCCCACTTACCATGCTCACCATGGGTATCTTTTTAACGGTGAGAGATACGAGGTCGGTTAAATGACACCAAATGTGGAGTTTGTCAAGGCCAACTATAATGTGAAAAAATATTTTGATAAAATCTATTCGTTTTTGTTTTATACGCGAAAAACAGATTTTGATCATTTTTATGTCTCCTCCGTAACTTCTTTATTTATGAAAATATTCAAATAGAAATTTCCCATTCTCATGGCAGTTTTTCAAAGTGATTTCGAAAAAAATATGAAATTCATGCCAACTCTTCTAGAATTTGAGATATCAGCACCAACTTTAGTTTTTCAAATGTAGGTCATAGCTCACTATGACTTAGTTACAAATAACTTTTTTTTCTCTTACAGATGATATGTCGCAGTAATAGTTTTGTGGGACTTATCGTCATTTATACAGAAACAAAAAATTATTTGGAAGCCGCCATCTTGAATTTATGAATTTTAGTAAAAAAATCATGATCTCCGACCTCAAAAACCCTCACTTATCAATTTTGAATGGAATCGGACCAAATCTTTTCCGCCATGTTGGAGCAGCCATTTTTTTAATTTCAACAAAAATTCCATAACTCCGATTAACTTGAAATTCGGCAAGTTTTCATAATTTCGGTGACAGTACATTATGGAATTTTTGTTGAAATAAAAAAAAATTGCTGCTCCAAGATGGCGGATAAGATTTGGTCCGATTCCATTCAAAATTGGTAAAAGGGGGTTTTTGAGGTCGGAGATCATGATTTTTTTGTTAAAATTTATAAATTCAAGATTGCGGCTTCCAAATAATTTTTTGTTTTTGTATAAATGACGATAACTCCGTTGTTATCAACACAAAACTATTACTGCGACATATCATCTGTAAGAAAAAGAAAAGTTATTTGTAACTAAGTCATAGTGAGCTATGACCTACATTTGAAAAACTAAAGTTGGTACTGATATCTCGAATTCTAGAAGAGTTCGTATAAATTTCATATTTTTTTCGAAATCACTTTGTAAAACTGCCATGAGAATGTGAAATTCCTATTTGAATATTTTCATTAATAAAGAAGTTACGGAGGAGACATGAAAATGATCAAAATCTGTTTTTTGCGTATAAAACAAAAACGAATAGATTTTATCGAAATATTTTTTCACATTATAGTTGGCCTTGACAAACTCCACATTTGGTGTCATTTAACCGACCTCGTATCTCTCACCGTTAAAGAGATACCCATGGTGAGCATGGTAATTGGGACACACTGTATATCTCAGCTATCAGTCGTGCGATCTTTACCAAATTTGTATCGGAATGAATAATCATCAATATGACCAGTTCTTCAAAGACAAACATCATTTTAGACAGTGCCGTTCATTTTTATTGAAATGAATAGGGATCAGTTTTTTATTAAATCATATTAGGCATTTTTTCACAGGAAAATTCAGAATTATGAACCACCCTGTAATCGTTCAAATTAAATATCAGTAGATAGTAAATCAAAAGTTAAGATAGGGACATGTATGCCGTTTTGACCAATAATGAATAGTTTCGACCCAAAAAAATCCTAAAGTTGAAATATCTCGATTTTGCACCTCGTTTTGCACACCCTATATCTCTGTAATCATTCTCGCTAGACGCAAGTGTGATGCATTGATGAAATCAGCTCACAAAGGAGAATCCGAAAATGCAATGAAATACAGGGTGTCCCATAAGAAAAAGTATAACTTTGATACGTCACGCATTTTTGAGTCACCCTGTATAAAGCGAAATATTTTGGAGATGTGCTGCTCATGAGCCTAGATCATCACGACAATTTTTGTTCATCTATCTCAAACATCAAAGGTGTTACCTCACTTTCCCATTTCAATGACTCACCCAGTATATCAATTTTTTAATGTTCATAATTATATCTGAGGATATTCCTTCTCAATCTAAAGTGATATTACAGATATTGATAAAAAATGATGTATTTTTGAGAACTTTACCATCCTGTATCTTGAATTATATTATATTATATTCTCAAATGGAACATCCTGTATATCACTGTGATATTCTGAATCCACACGATACCATATGAGTGACATTTCACCCATATTGATTTTGACACCCGGTAAGGTGATTTTTCGTCATGAAATCTGTTGTTGTTATTATGGTTTTTGTTTAATTGACATCATCAATTTAATCTTCCAATGGATTTGATATGAGAACAATAATTGTTGTGAAATTGATATAATTGAAATATCAATATCCGAATAATTAGTACGAATCGGTCGAATTTTATTTCTTGTTTATACACTATCATCAAAAATCCATGTGTAATCATTTCTTCAATCTGTTATTTTCTTTTCTCGTTTCTATAAATAAAACGATCAATTGACAAGGCAGATGATTCGCCTTAAACTGTCACTATTTCCAAATCTCACTATTAGAAATTCAATCGATAGTCGATGACACCTTAGTTGAAAAATGTTTGAAGATGAAGGTTATATTGGAAAACTATCGAATTTTCACGCAGAAAAAAAAACACATATTATCGATATCGATTATGTGGGTCAGATATTTTGGAATAAACACAAACAGCTAATAGAAAAATGCTATTCTTATAATGATGCTGTTTCAAATATTATGAGGAATTATTAATTTGCCAGTCCAAGTCCAAAGGTATACGATCATTTTAATCACATAACTCATATACAGGGTGTTTCAAAAAAACCTAACCCCCTTGCTAAGGTAGGTAAAACATTGCGAAATAAGTTGGGTTTGTTCAGTAAAAAAATGTCGTAACGCCATCCGTTTTCAAGATACAAGCTGTTGAAACAATATTTTTTTTACACATTTTTTACGATTATGTTGAAACTACTGGCACCATTGTGATGAAATTTTGTATGGATGTTTCTTGAAATCTGACCCATCGCATGCACTTGTTTTCATATCTGACTCTCATAGAGGGCGCTAGTTACACGGTTCGTACCGAGTAGTTTGGAAGATAACTGTTTTGAGGTTAGATTTGTCAATCCAAATTTGATGTGAACTTGAACCTCATTCAGTTTCACACCAAAAAGGTACTCTTGGTAAAACCCGATACTGTGTTCCGTTTTCGGAATATTTCGATTTGAAAATGATGAAATGGAACTGTTGCTGGTATAAAGCTATGTATTAGAGTGAGTATTATGAAAATTTATCATCTATTTATTGAAAACCGAAAACAACAATACATTTCTGATGCAAAACTCATTGATTGAACAAAGAATGTCATCGAAACAGATTTGACTAAGAACATGGATTACACAGTTTTGTTGTATCTTGAGCAGAAAGTCTATGCTACATGGGTAAATTCACGTCAAGAGTTGTAAGACATAATATTGAACATCACTTAAATGACCTAACAGGTGATCATCCACAACTGTTTAGAAGAATAATTCATTCTTTAAAAAAAGAATATAGAATCGTGTATTCCTCGAAACGTAGGACATTTTGAACACTTACTCTAACTGATTCAATATTTCATGTTTCTAGTCAAATATCTCTTAATTTTCTACTTATGATTCTACGTTACATCAATAACTTCAGCACAAGAATAATTTTATTGGTTTTGAATCTGAATAAATAGGAAATTGAACTCAATAAAATTCATTTTATACCTGCATCATTACTACTCCATTATTTTCAAATCGAAATATTCCGAAAACGGAACATAGTATCGAGTTTCACCAGGAGTACCTTTTTGGTGTGAAATTGAATGATGTTCAAGTTCATTTCATATTTGGATTGAAACATCTAACCTCAAAAATGTTATGTTCAAAACTACTAGGTACGAACCGTGTAACTAGCGCCCTCTATGATAGTCAGATATAAAAACAAATGCATGCGATGTGTCAGATTTCAAGAAACATCCATACAAAATTTCATCACAATGGTGCCAGTAGTTTCAACATAATCGTAAAAAATGTGTAAAAAAAATATTGTTTCAACACCTTGTATCTTGAAAACGGATGGCGTTACGACATTTTTTCACTGAGCAAACCCAACTTATTTTGCAAAGTTCTACCTACCCTAGCAAGGGAGTTAGGTTTTTTTCAAACACCCTGTATAAGTTGAATATAAATACATATTACTTTTGGGGCATTTTCAGCCAATGTATAATTCTTTCAAAACAAGTTTTTATATCCTATGTATGAATGTACCATGTAGGAGCATTTCTGCATTGCACTACTATTTGTAAAAAGAAAATGTTGACTGTTCAACATCGTTAATGTTCCATGTCATATGATAACGCACATCATTAACAAAGAACTAGTTTTCATTAAGGATATATTATATTATAACAGGAATGTGAGTTAAAACCACAGTAAATACTTTCCAAACTTCAATTTCACTTCGCATAGAAGTTACAGGGAGATCTCCCAAGAATGACAACATAAATTCTACCAAAACAAATATCACATCATTGTTTCCCTTCATTTTTTTTTTCAAATTACATTTTACGTTCTAATTTACGTACGAAAAACCGCCTATTTCCGAAGACAAGGACGTTTCGTCCGCAGACAATAACTTTTCGTCCGCTCCAGGGTTGACAGTTCTACTGAATTTTCAGCTGATCTACTGAAACATTAAATAATCGACTGAAAAATATTTTGACACTCAATTCTTATTATAATTACCTATATTATTATTAATCTTCAGTTAATCACATACACTTATTATGAATTCCATGATATTTCGGCACGCTCTGGTTAAATTAACTTTACAAAATAAGTAATAAATAATGTACATATAGGAATTAATGGTATGAATTAAACAAAAAAGGACAATACTTTATCTGATTCAGATCGAATTCAATTTCTTACATACCTCGATCTGTTATAACAGTTTGTTTTTAACGTTAAATTGTTTTGTATTTTTGTTGTTCATTTCTACTATTCGTTCCTGTTTTTTATAGATATACTCAAATCTTATAAGTAACTGTATTTTGTGATATTTGTGAGTATTTTTAAATTGAGAATTAGGAATATGATGTTTTTTATGTGAATGTTTTTTTTTGTTTCTATTTTGGTGGAAATAGAGGTTACTTTTATGTTTAGTAAATGTACATAATGTTTTGACGTCATAGGTTATTTATTTTATTATCCTTCCTTGGAATTCGTTTAGCATGAAATAAATCTTAAATAGATCTATTGAAATCTGAATTGTTGACAAGGTTTACTGATGGAATAAAAATCGAATTGACAACCCTGGTCCGCGCGGACAGTGAGTTGACAACAACTTACCGTCCCTTTCTGTTGTCAAATTAATTATTTCACGAAATCCGGTAGATTTTAAGAGTGTATATGACCGTGATGTGAATATAAGAATCAAGGATATAAGTCGCAGGGTATAACATGAAGTTTTAGTCATGTTGTAGCCATCTTGTGGCAAAGCTCTAAGGTAGGATACAGATATCGCGACACACACTGTATGGCGCTGCCATCTATAATAGTCACACGTACAGACCCCTACGTCTATACGCTACAGAGTGGTACTACAAGTAAATCACTCTGCTGACAGATGGCACTACCTGACATACTTGAGTGGAATTTTTCCACCACCTATACAACTGCTAAATCTCATAACTAAGAGATCTAGGATGAACTACAACTTCATGTTATACCCTGCGTCTTCGAAATGGGTGATAAACCCGAAGCGTAGAGTTGTCCCAGTTGTCAGCAGACCGAGGGCGGCTGATGAGACTTGGTGGGTCGAAACAGTATTGTCTCGCTGCTGCTGACAATTGGGGCAACTCTGTTCATCCTAGATCTCTTACTCGACTATAATAGGCAGTGTTTCGTCCTTGGTACAAAATGAATATATTTTCGAATGTTTTCCCGCTAAAACGCTGCCATAAAAGGTATGCAGCAATAAAGATAAGTACATTCTTATGCATGATATCACAGCTGAACATTGTTGGAAGTTTTCTCATTGCAATTAATTTAATTGAGCACACCTTGTGCACAAGCATACCAATAGGAATTAAGCTTATTGGGTAAAAAAACCATAATAGGTAAGAATTCAAATTTCTAGAAAAAGAAAATGCTATGAAATTCATAACGATGAGAAAAAGCATCACCATTTTTCTCAATTTTTTTATTGTTTCTAGATTACCCAAAATAAATTTCCAAAGAAATGCTCCATTAAGAACACGTCAGAAAATCGTCGTGAAAAATCTTTGGCGTCTCAATCGATTTTCTTATATAAACTGAATCGTGACATATTATACAGTGTAATTCATAAAGTTGGCATCATATGGGAAAAACCTTTGATAACAATTTATTTTAAAATTCGACTTGGGCGTTAACTTTTTCTTCAAAAAAGTTTAAAATGGCCTATTCGGCCGGAGTGACTTTCGCTACAAGTCAAGACATACATTTTTTTCAAATTATTTGCTGAAAATGGGCTTATTTGTTAGAATTTCAGAAAAGTTTACTGATAAAAGTTTTTTATATTCCAATTTCACAAATGTAATATTCTTCGATTTCTTCTAATAACTTCGACAAACCTGACCTAAACTTTGGTTAGATACGTAAAGTAGTTTGATGATATTTTGATAGATGACTTTGGCATCATTTTATTAGTACTGAAAAAATTAAATCAAATAAATTTCGCCAATGCATCAAACATAATAGAAGTTTGTAGCAGGGCATATTTCTTTTTTAAGAAAATCATATTTCCGTCGATAATTAGTGTTTGAAGGTAAATAATACAATATCAAAATATAAATGTTGTTATATAACATTCAAATTCAACATTCATGCATAAAATTAAAATAGAAATACTTTTCTCTGTAAACTTTTTTGAAATTCGAACAAATGAGCCTATAATTTACACCAATGTTTTGAATTTCCGTAAAGAATCATTGAAGAACATTTTTGCATATTACGTCAACCGATGGGCTGACGCCATTCTAACATTTGCGCTATTTTTCGACTTTCACAGGTACACTAGGAACCTGGTCGACCATGGTAACGGAAAATACAACTTGATGTTGCTTTGTTGGGGAGAAGGACACGGTTCGGCCATTCATGACCATTCGGATTCGCACTGTTTCATGAAAATGCTGCAAGGATCCTTAAGCGAAATCAGGTAAAAACGCAAAAAGTACATAAAGTAACGCTTTTTACTTGTCAAACTTTGATAGATCATAGATCATCAGAACTTGGTACTTATACTCAAGAAAAAAACCTTTGGTAAAACTGCATTTATCATGCGATAGTTTTTTTTTCGAAATTTTTTTTTGGTACTTACGTATTTTTGTCTGAAAAACATGAATTTGCTAATGAAAATGTGAACAAACCACTATTTATCGAGATATTTCAAAAAAAAAGTTCGAAATTTCGCCTTTTTTCTCTGAAATTGAGAATTGGCATTATCTCTACAATCGAATGACTTTTTTTTAAGTTCCAAGGTCATTGAGATCAGAGTTCATACAAGTATACTTCTCTTATACATCTCAATTTTCATTTCAATAGTGAAAATATTGGTAAGGTATATTTTTATAATAAAATTCCAAATGATATTATAAAAACAAAATCACTACAATCCTATACAATAAAAATAAAAAACTGGATATTAAACTCCCCTAAAAATTATTTTATTTCTTTAATTAACATTTAATAATATCATTAGATAAATTTTAATAATAATTGTGAATAAGTATGTATGAATATAAATAATTATGCGTATTGAATGAAATGCTCAGTACACTATATATTGTGATAATTTGATATTGTTAAATATTTATTGACCTATGTACATTTATTTATTTTTTATCCTTACTACAAGGTTAACTTCGTAAGGTTTTTCCCAGTTTATTCAAAATCATAATACATCATATTATTCTATTCGGTTTGAGAGATAATGTCAATTGTTCTCAATTTCAGAGGATTTTGATTCTTCATGTTCTCTTTTTGGATATTCAACAGATATAATTCAATGTTCGACGTGGCATATAGCCAGGAATAAAGTAGTTGTTTTCTGAGGAATAAACCGAGACAGAATTCATATTTTCATCACATCGAGAAAGCGAATTCTCAATGTATTTCTTTATATTCAGTGTGTCCACCTTAAGGACTTACCACCCCTGTAAAATCGTTATTATCCGACCAATTTCAAAAAACCTTTTTTTGTTGGATAGGTTTTTGAAATGCCCATCCAACGAGAGAGTGATCTAATTCTTGGACTGTTATCGTGGCCAACTGCGACAAATTTCAATGACCCATATTCCAAAAAGTACTATTAGGGATTTTTTTCCACGAAACTTGATGATAGATTCTGAATCAGTACCACTTGAAATATACCTGTACCGATTTTCATCATCATAAAACACAGGGTGTCCGAAAAAACGAATCATCGTTTTCTTCAAATAGGTGATCAGCAAATGTAGTTCTGTGGTTTTTCTAGAAAGAAATGATCACAAATTATCATTGAGGATTATTTCAAATATACCTGTACCAATTTTCGTCATTTGAATATACAATGTGTCTGAGAAAAAAATTAAAAAGGATAGGTAAGCAATATTTTTCATCCTGATAATTCACCACTCAAAATAAAAAGATGAATCAGGATCACTTGGAACATACCTGTAGCGATTTTCATCATCATTAAACACAGGGTGTTCGAAAAATCAAATTAATATTTTTTTTTGAGTTGATGAAAAAATATTGCCTACTTTTTCTTTTTAATTGTTTTCTCATACACATGGTATTTTTGATTGATGAAAATCGGTACAGATATGTTCAAAGTGATCCTCAATAATAATGTGTCATCAATTCTTCTCAAAAACACCATAATACTAAGTTTTCTGCTCACCTATTAAAAAAAATAACATAATTCGTTTTTTCGGACACCCTGTGTTTTATGATGATAAAAATCAGTAAAGGTGTTTTTTAAGTGATCGTGATTCAGAATCCATCATTGTTTTTAGTGAAAAAAAATACCTAATAGTACTTTCTCAAATACGGGTCAATAAAGTTGGTCGCAGTTGGCCACGATCACAGTTCATGAGTAAAATCACTCTCTTGTTGGATGGACATTTCAAATACCTATCCAACAAAAAAAAGTTCTTTGAAATCGGTCAGATAATAACAATTTCACAGGGGTGGTAAGTCCTTAAGGTGGACACACTGTATATATATTCATTTTTTGTGTTCATAAATATATCTGAGAATATTCCTTTTCAATAACAAAGTTGTTGCTACTTTTCGATAGAAGCGGCAATACTGCATTGTCGGAAAAAGTTTAAAGGAAGAGAGCGCATCTTTGTGAAGTTTGGCAAGAATAATTGAAACACCCTGAATAATTCCATGAACAAAATCACTTATATCACTGTCATCATCAGGTTTGCCTGGCCGGACAAAGAAGATGTGACGCTGAAAGAGATAGGACGGAAACCGTTAAACATCAACCAAGTTTGTTATATAAACGGTAAAATTCGAATATCAACGGTGTCTCCAATACCGCTGACGTGAACTAACGACATTTTCAGATTCCATCGGACTGCATCGCGTCGAGAACCTTTCCAACGTAGATACAGCGATCAGTTTACATTTGTATTGTCCCCCGTACAAGCAATGCTCGGTTTTTAATCAGAACACCGGCCAAAAATCCACATCCACCGTCACATTTTACTCGATGTTCGGAAAAAGGATAAAGGTAACTAGGGTCCCTTGATGTAAATTGACGTATTTGTCATCTTAACAGGGCATGGACAGATCCTCGTCTCCTCTCACTCTCAAGTGTTTGTGAAACAGGTATATAGTTTCATCTTTATTCATTTCTGGGGATGAACACTAGGTTTCTGACATTTGTTGTTTTTTTAGGTTATATTGAGGACATTGGCGTATCATGCGTAATTTCCACATGTAATTTCTCATTCAACTCTACATTTTATATCCAAATGATGATGATAATTTTCGAGTTTTTGACTTTTCACAATCAGTCGATCAATGCAGCGTTTAAAATTGTTGATGAATTCTTACACGAATTACTTCAACAACTTAACTTTGACAATAACCTACAGAGACATTCATAACAAGAAATGTTCAAAATGATAACCATTATTTTCTGAAAAAAGATATCCTCTTCTCACAGTTGCTCCTAAGACATTACTAAGCATTTCTGGGGTTATTTTATTGAATGTTTCGATGACACTGTCCCTTAGTTCTTCTTCATCATCAAAATTAATTTGCGTATACAAATTTTTTGATATATCCCCTAAGATATCATATCAGGCTACCGCGCCGGCCAAGGGACTGTAGAATGAGTACCAATCCATTTTTCTGGATAAAAACGCACGAACTTCTCTGGAATTATGTACCGGAGCGCCATCTTGTTGAAACCAACAGTTCTGAACTTCTGCAATCGGTAAATCATCCAGAACTTCCTCAAAATGATTCTCAAGCAAATCTCTATAATGTTAGGAAGTCTGTGTTTCATGGTGAATAAAAGGACCAATAATTATTCGTGTACCAAATATTGCAACCCACATATTAAAGCCGAAACGGTGTTGGTGTCTCGCTGTAATGTATAAATGTTCATTTTCTCGTGAACAATAATGTGTATTTTTTCTATCGAAGCTACCATGATTAGTGACCATGCTTTCATCAGTCCAGATGATTGTTCGCGGGAAATCTGCAAAATTTTAACATTTCCTGGTATACCACTCACAGAATGACTTGCGCCTTTCGTCATCGCCTGGTTTTAGCGCTTGACATATTCTGAATTTGTATGGATGGAATTTTTGTTTCCGCAAAATGAAATGGGTTGTTGATTGAAACCAGTTGATGAGGTATTAGTGTGTCGACTAATTTTTCTTCAAAATAAGTGGAACTGATGGCATTTTTCCTTTGGAATTTCGATAAAACATTGATGATGGCTGAAAATAGGTCGAAACACACATAAACCACTTTGTATAATACATGGTTAGATTTAGAATAAAAAAACCTTTCAGAATCTGTGGAAAAATTATCAGGACCGTATTTAAAAAACAAAAGTTGATGATGGTTCCACGAATACGAAACGTCGCATAAAAAAATCGGTATCACCACGTTAAACGTCATCAAAAGTTGCTATGAGAAAGTATTTTCAGTTTTTCTGTATCTCTAATAATAACGGAGAAAAAAAATAAAATAGAAATTCCAAAAATTCACTTTTTTCGATATAACTCAAAAACTAAAAATAATTTTCGAAATTTTCGAAGGCTCTTGACATGAGCCTCCGAATGCGCAACTTTTTCCCCATTCAACCGACTTCGTAGCTCTTACCGTTTTCGAGATCCCCATGCTGTTCAACCTTATCTTGGACAGGCTGTATATTCATGTTGGGAAACATTTTTGCAGTTTTTCACGAACACTTAATATTTCCTGAATGTAGGAATAATTTTTAAAATGGTAGGGCACATGCCTCTTCTTTTAATCCTTCGTTTTAATCAAAACTGTTTCTACTGAAATTCATTCAAAAACTCGAGGAGTGGATAATTATAGGCACAATGAAAAAGTATAATATGTGATTTCGTATTAGTTTTACGTCGAATATTTTGCTGATGTATTTACCAATTTTCCTCATTCGATCCCTTCACTTTCCATGTTCTTAGTTCATTTGCATTTGATGGAAAGCTGACAAATTCGAATTTGCCATCCAACTGATTGACACAGCCTAACGCAGCACATTCTACCATCCTTCCAAAACAGAATTGAATAATGTCGTATCAAGATCAAGTATAAAATTAAAATTTTGTAAAAGATCTCTTTTAACGCCTATGATGACGTGACAGTAATGTCATGTCAGGGACGCCAATACACGAAACCAAAGTCACTAGATGATTAAGAAAGAAAGGAGCTATGATCTGTTCGTACCCTGTTAGATGACAAATCCGTCATTTTTTAATTTTTTTTTAGGAAAATAAACAGGTTGAGGAACCAGAAGATAACTAAGGATGATTGAATACATAGTGTCAGCCAAAGAAGCCCGTAATATATTGGATGACAACAAACTTCCGGGTTGTATTTCTGAAAGCATCACTGTTTCAGTGGAAAATTTCATTTCACAATTTTGAAGTACTAACCCAAACACTGTCATGAACCATTTTCTCCATAGAGGTAGTTCATTTAAAAAATGATTGAAATCCACGATATTTCATTGGATTAAATTTTTTTGGAAATCACATCTTGACATCTTGACATAACGCCCTATACCTTCCTATCTCCACAGTATATAATCCTTTCACGATTATATACTGTGCTATCTCCAAGGTCTTTTCGGAGAGAAAATATTTTACTTGTCTTGTTGATAAGTTTTATGGACCATTTTGATCTTTTTTTACTGTCATTCAACATAATAACACAAACATATCAATTCCTAGAAACATTTGAAGATTGTAATCACCGCAAATATATATAACACACATCACACTACCATTTGATCGATTATAGAAAGAGGAGGATAAATCGATAAGTTTTTTTCTCATGTTTTTGACAAATAAACATTACACTGCGATTTCCTAATCCATATGGTTTTTGATCACTCATTTCAGTTTTCAGAAAATCGATGTTTGTAGAAAAAAGTCAATCACTCTTTCACTGTGGACGGAAAGAAAGATTTCCAGATGTCGGTACTTTTCATGAAATTAGAACCTATGAATAATTACATTAGATGTTAGGTTAGGATGAAAGATTACTTATTATTATTTTCCAGTATTCTCATCTACAGTGTGATGCACTTAAAATATAGACACCCGACACCCCTGTATTTCATTCATGTTTGAAAGCAGGGATTCGATTTTTGGAACAGAAAAAAGTTATTTCAAAAATTTGCTTAGAAATCGATTTCAATACTACCTACCGAATTTCAACGCAAAATTCGAATTTTGAATTTTTTCCGTTTCATTAATCGTTTCAATATTGCATCAACATAGCTTTCAACTTGGCTTAGTGGGATTATTCGAGCCCGATTTTCGATTAATGGTTTTGAATAAAAAGGTACAGAAATGATAAAATAGTCCGAATCAATGGAATAAACGATTGAAGTAACTGAAATTAAAGATTATCATTTTTTCATATGTAAGTTATCGAGTTTAGTCTACTATATAGACTATCACCAGAACTCAATCCAAAATTCTAATTTCGCGTTGAGATTCGGTATGTAGACTCAAAATCGATTACTAAGCAACTTTTCCAAGTAACTTTTTTCGGTATCTACAAATCAAATCACTGCTTTCAAAAATTACTGAAATACAGGGCTGTCTAAACCTCAAAAAGAAAAAGTAGGTACATAATATTTTTCTTAAGGAATAATTATTCTACAACATGACATGGGCCGAACCTTTTCATTATAAAATTGCATTTGATGCGTCTCTTCAAATATTATTTTCTCAATTTTCTGCCATACCAGTGATCACAAGTCATGTGTCAAAGCCATTTTCAGGTTAAAGACCATCCAAAAATTCTCGTATCCGTAATATTCTAATAAACTAAATGTTACGGACCTTCATTGGACCACACAGCAGGCTAAAATTATATTCCATAATGTTTCTACAGGGTGTTCCCTAAATACGTGCTAATATTTGAGGTGTTTCTTTGACTAATTTCAAGAATAAAACTTCATATGTATGTATGTCCTAACTTTCGAGATACAAGGTGATGAATTTTTCAAAAATTTTCAGATTCTTGATGATAACTGAGACAATATTGTAGGTATACATCTTCATGACATTTGGTACACGTCTTTAATGCATCGAGGTGCATTTTATGATGCATACGAATTTTCATTCTCTCTACCAGTGGCACCGTTACGGGAATATTATTGTTGCTATTTTACTTAAAAGTGAGCAACGAGGAAAAATTTTCAGATTTCGTACAATGCTATGGAAGGCTATTTGATTATGTACAAAAAAGATCCTCTTGTTTTTACTCGATAGAACGCTTCGTTTTAGAGTAAAAACGGAAAAACCAGACCAGACTTCAAATTTTGATGTCTGAGTACTCCAATCAGGACATCCATTACTGGATAACCACAGTATGTAACATTTTGAAATTTTGTTACCGATTAAGTAACATAGCATACTGAATTTTGCCATTAGGAAAAGCTACAGGGTGGACAAAAAAGTATTTATGCATATTTTCAACAATGACACCCTGTAACTAAAAAGTTAGGACTTTACGAGATACGTTCATGTGTTTATTTCTTGAAATGGGTCGAATAATCGGCCCCTTGAATATTAGCATATCAGCAAGGAACACCCTGTATAAACCATGAGCCAAAAAATAGTCGTACAGAGTGAAACCGTGATATTTTTTATTTGCCACAAGAACACGAACAACCGCAAGGCAGCTCATTGAGACGACCGCGAGGCGTAACCAGTTTAGGAGCATTTCGAAATTTGGGAGGATCGTTTTCGCCGACCTTGAACCACTCGCCTGATTTGTTGTCCATCTGCCAACGGGCCTGACGGTCCCCTCCCGAAAACTTCTTGGATTTGTTGGGCTTCGAGGTGGGCCGTTTCAGTTTGAGCTGAAAAGTCGGCTGATCCTCTTTTCTGCAGCCGCAGCAGTCTCCTACTGAAAGCAATCGCGCATATCGTTATCGATGCTCGAATTTCACTATCGCTCCTTGCGGTCGAATCCCCGATCAAAATCGTCTTCTCGAGTGGGTTAATGCATGTAAAAGAGCGCATCTAGTATCTAGTAGTTTAATATTATTAACCCATAAGTATCCAGCGTCCTCTTTTGAGGACACATGCAAATCCTGTCTAGTCCTAGGCAGCATGTCATACGATAACGGCAGTATCGATCATCAATCTGTTTGACAATAATTGTGCTCTGTTCATGAACACACAAGCCATCATAATATTCAAGGAAACAAAGTCATTCAAAGGGCAAGTGTTTCAATTGTTTCTTAGTGACAGGAAGGAAGGAATGCTCGAAGTGGTCTACTGAACATATACATACATGTTTCGCTTGTGATATTTAGTATTTTCAGATATTCACATCATTCTGAGATAAATGTGGGTAAATAGTAGTGTCCTAAAAAGAGGACACTGGGCAAATCTTACATGATTGGATGAATGCATATTATTGTCTGAAAATCCAGAAACCGCATTCCATTCGAGAATCCCGAAGATGCCATTGTATATTTGGAACCGGAGGAAATTGAAGGTGAAATTCTCGCCTTACAGATAAGTTCACGGATGAAGAATTCTTTGAAGATGAAGATGTCGGACTTCCTCTTTTATCTGATGTACCAAGTACCACAAAAATACTCATTTCAACAGAAAAAGATGACGAAATAGTAGAAAAGAAGATGATTTATCTCTTTCTATACAGCGCATACGCTTCGATATCGAGAACCAAGAAAATAACAATTCCACATCTGTTGCTAGCTGTAACAAAAACAAATAAAGCCTGTTTTTGAAACTTGGATGAATGGGAAGCTTGGAATATAGAAAAGTTGAACAGAGTGAAGGTACTATTGGCAAATAAAACATCAGTCGAAATTTTCAACACAATATTTTCATCTGAGGTTCTGGAGCTTATCGTGGATGAGACAAATCGGAACAAGGATTCAAATTTCCTGTGGAAGGAATAAGAATATTCATGAGTTTTCTAATACCTATGCATATTGTGCATATTTTGTATCGGCCGATACCATTACATACATTATTATAAACAATACCTGCGGGCTTCATTCCTATTTCATTTTTTTTTCTGATTATTCTGATTATTGACGTTTGACTCATTTTGTTTTTTCCTATATCACGAATAAAGAATATTTTAATGCACTGCAAATTTCAATGTTTTTGTCGCCTATGCCCAGTGTCCTCTTTCGATGACACGTAATTTTTCCATAACTATCAGATACCAATGAAATCTACAGTAATAATGTGCTACTAGGGACTATGATATTCCCTAATGGGTGAGTTAATAATGAATTATTGGCATTCAATTACTCCACAGTGTCGTTAGCGACCTAAAATAATTTGTTACACTTCTCACACTTTTTTTATGTAAATATTAAGTTTATGCGTTGTTCGAAATTGTTGAATTTCGGAATTCAGTTCAAACGTACCGTCATGGCCGCCATTTGGCGATACGTCGAATAAATGGTGACGTCACTTTTTATACTCGCCTTTGTAATTATTTCGGTTGAATTATGGAGAAAAAAATTGTTTGAGCGTTAATGGGTCAAATATTTGGATCTAAAGAGGCATTTCGCGAGGAATAAAAAGCCATATTATCGCTTATCGCTAGAATTGGTTACCTTGGCAACGGCTGATTCTCTTCTCATTGAGCTCGGAAATCCTTCTGATGATCGGTTCCTCGCTCTCGCTGGGTTCCTCATAATTGATGATCGGTTGTTCCAGCGGCCTGTTGTATCTGCTCTTGTTCTCGAACTCTTTCATTGCTCGTTTCACCCTGTTCCTGTTCCTATTCTGTAACGTTTCTTCCAACTCCTGCACCTAGACAATCGAAGACATTCATCGATATTTCAATTACTCTCTAGCTGACCTGGCAAACGTTGTTTTGCTAAAGACGGTGTCCCGAGACTCGATGGTCATAGCATAAAGGTATACAGTGTGTCCCAGATTCGCTTCTCTATACAGGGATCTCGGTCCCTATCATACCTACAGCAATGGTTAAATATGGACAGGTTTAGAGGAAACTTAGTGCATTCGATAACTGACTGCAGATTTACGATCGATCAATTGGTTTTGGAAATATTGGCGAAAATGGCGGATTTAGTCTTTCGCCAGTAAATCCGGAACGGTGGATTTGACAGCTGAAAGAATCATAATCTCCGACCCCTAGAACCCCAGACGCGGGTCTTAAATTGAATCTGATCATTTTTTTACGAAGGTCGTCTGCATATTGGTTCCGTCATCAATTTCCTAATTTTGACGAAGGAATCATTATCTCCGACACCGAGAACACCCAGATACAAATTTAGAATAAAATCGGATTATAATTACAAAATTCGTCATATCATATCCGACATCTTGAAGTTCCTAATTGTCATGAATTTTAATACTAATTATCCTATTCCGGACTAAGAGAAACCAACAAAATCAAATATCATGAAAATTGGTCCAGCCGTTTTCGAGTTATAAATGATGGGTGTAACAAAGGTGTAACTAACACAATGTTGGTCTTTCTATTATATTTATTTATTTGTCACAGTTACATTTTTTTCTTCATTGATACATTTTATACAAATGATTTATATACAGGGTAACTCACGGTCGATGGTACGTTAGACGTTTATGGAGAACGGGACATAGGATCATTCTGAAATTTTGGTTACTCACGTAGTTGCTCTTGGTCTATCGATCTAAAATATTTTCAGCTCTGCGGCGTTGCCACTTCTATCGAAAAGTAGCAACAACTTTGTTATTTTAAATGTAACACCCTGTATTTTATTGCATTTTCAGATTCTCTCTGAAGTGCTGATTTCATCGATGTATCACACTTGGGGTCTAGCGGAAATGATTACAGAGATATAGGGTGTGAAAAATCGACATTTTTCAACTTTAGGATTTTTTTTTGTCGAAACTATTAATTATTTTGATTAACTATTTACTGATATTTAATTGGGACATATACCGGGTGATCAAGATTCTGAATTCTGCACCACCCTGTATTTGTTTCAATTAAATGTCAGTAGATAGTTGATCAAAAGTTGAGATAGGGACATGTGAGCCGTTTTGACCAATAATGAATAGTTTCGACAAAAAAAATTCCTAAAGTTGAAAAATGTCGATTTTTCACACCCTATATCTCTGTAATCATTTCTGCTAGACCCCAAGTGTGATACATCGATGGAATCAGCTCTTCAGAGAGAATCTGAAAATGCAATAAAATACAGGGTGTTCCATTCGAAATAACAAAGTTGTTGCTACTTTTCGATAGAAGCGGCAACGCCGTAGAGCTGAAAATATTTTAGATCGATAGACCAAGAGCAACTACGTGAGTAACCAAAATTTCAGAATGATCCTATGTCCCGTTCTCCATAAACGTCTAACGTACCATCGACCGTGAGTTACCCTGTATATCTTGTTATATTCTAAATCGTGGCATCGTAGATAGACACATTTTCAACACTTGAACACATTTATCCACTCAGGATAGCCATTACAAAGAAAACCATATTATGAAATACAAAGAAAACCATATTATGAAATACAAAGAAAATCATATTATGAAATACAACGAACGACCTTCTCTTTCTGAAACCGATGAATAAGTGCCTGCTTCGATCGCTTGGCATGATGATTACGAAATCCGATGAATCACCACCTTGTGATAACGTATTCCTATGCGTTCTCATTAATGGGGTGATTCAAGCTATGTGAATTGTGAATGTGATTAAATATGCGAATTTTATTTGATCAAATGAATAAATGAATGGGCGAATCGATCAAAGGTAGATAAATAGATGAGTAGAATAATACGCACCAATTCCAGATACTCATCGTTGTTTTGGTATGGCAAATCACGATGTATTCTGCTACCGTCCGACGTGAATCCATCCAAGTCTTCATTTTCCTCGTCAATGTCGGTTTCTTCGTCTTCTTCTTCCTCTTCCTGTTCATCGGAACTTGAAAAATCCCGCGGTATTGGAGGTGGGGGTGGCCGAAACGGAAGAGAACAATAGTTTTGATGCGGTTCTGGGTTCATGGTACGTCTACCAACAAGAAAAAATATGTTGGAAGTTCATTGTTTCAAGAAACAATTCGATATCCCAAAATTAGTTTCATCTCGGGCGCCACACTCACTTATCGGAGATCCTTGATTTATTGGTGTATCTAATCAATGATATGATGTAGGATAAAATGCCATTGCACTGTTAAGATGATTTTTTTTTTGTATAAAATAATAATGGAATGGGTAAGTTTCCTTCAGATGAATTTTTATAAAATAGGTTCGGAACTCTCCAGTTTTATGTCCACGATGTACAGAATGGCGACCGATGAAGTCCAAGTCGTTTTCATTTTCATTCTGAATCTAGTCTGAAAATAGCTGATGGTGAAGAATATAGATAGCGAATAGCTAACGAATAGCTAACGAATGAAAAACGATTGAAAAAAAATAGAAGTAAAACTGGTAAACAAAAACAAAGATAACCACAAACTTGGAGCAGGGATGCAGAAGGTAGTTGGCTTCATTCTGACAGGTTATGTTATGGTTTTGTTATTTATACATTGAAATATCTCGAATAGAGCTCGATCCTAAACGAAAATATCATTGAATCAATGAATCACTATCGGCTACATTCAATGATACTATCCTTCCTAATTTACTGCCATCGGTCAGAACAAAATGAAGCCGACACCCATGGCTCCTTCCTTTTGTTGTGCCTGTCAGTATTTTGAGTAATGTGGACAGACTCGAAGTAATTGTTATGATTATATTTTCTGATTCTTTAAAATCTAGGTTAAGTGTAAGAGTAGCCCCACGCTAAACTTTCGCCTATTTTGTGAGAAAATGAAGACGATTTACTATTATTAATATTATTATTTGTTGTGTAAGCTAACCTAACCTGCATCTTCCGTCACACGGAACGACCCTCGCTTGAATATTTCTAGGTGGCGATCTAGGTCTAGGATTCGTCTCACGAAATCGCCTAGCTTCCGAAGGACGTTTCTTGAAACCCTCGCAAGGGGGCACACAAATGTACCTCGCACTCTCTTCAGATGTATCTACGAACTTGTTGCTAATCTTGGGAGATTTTTTTCGATGTAGGGGACGGCGAATTTCCGAGGGGCAACTTTCTGGGGTTCTAGGTGACGTGTTAAGGGATGAAAAGCTGATGTGCCTTTCAACCAAACGAGATCTGCAACAAGAAGAATAAGAATAATCAAGTAAATGTCGATAAGCGTAGTTCCAAGATACAACTATCCCTCTCAAAGTGTCCAATAGAGCAGAATTCAGCTGTCCGTCAAGATGATATTTGTTTCAAATCATTTATAATATCATTATTGATGTCGTTAAGATCTTTTGAAGTATAGATTATTGTTGTATCATCTGCATATAATTTTAGTTTTCATCAAAATTTTAAAGTAGATATTGAGTTAATGTATATCAAAAATAAAATTGGCCCCAAAACTGACCCTTGTGGTACACCACATGTAATATTCATCAGGGAACTACAAGTAATATTCACATCAACATACTGTTTCCTATTCTTCGAATAATTTGGAAACCAATCATGGAATACTGAAGACAAGGACAGATATTTATTTATTTATTTATTTATTCTCATATGAATACATTTACAAAGACATACATATTCTAATATTATAAAAATTCTAAATTTTATCTACTTCACATAGGTTATTGACCTGTGTGTGAATTAGATAATTATTATAAACTTTTTGTAAAAAATTTTCAAGTTCTTAAAAATATTTAGATTAAATATTGATTATAAATTCAATATATACAAAGCACACAAACAACAAAAACAAAACACACAAAAAAAAAAAAAAATTATTTGAAGAGATTATCAATTTCTTTTGCATTATCCAAAAACCAAATTTTAATTTTTTTTTTTGAATGTTACAATATTCAAACGTCTCAATTTTGATGGAACTCTGTTAAAAATTTTTGACCCAATAAAACTACTATGGTTTTGCATGATTTTGAGATTATGTTTTTCAAGTTGAACATTATCATTTCTTGTACAATAATTGTGACTAATTTTATTACTAAATGCAGTGTTTTTTCTCAAGAAATTCAATGATGCTTTATAAAATAATTGTTTGACATTCAGTATATGAAGGGAAGATATTTTTTTTCTCTCAACGCTAGCTGAACTGCTTTATTTTCACCACCTTATACCTACTTGCAACCAGGAAATGCGCAGCTGCAAACTCGTTCTCGCTCCTTTGAGCAATACCAGCACCGATTCTCATCAGGACTCGCCCAAGTATTCTCGCTGGTCTGCATTTTGGTCGACTCGGTATTGAAAGTGTTGACATAAGACTCTGCCAATTTCGTTTGCTCGGTATTGGAGGCCGTATCCCTGCCGCATCTGAAGAAACAAATGCGATCGTCTGACGTTTGCAATATCTTGTCGCTGGTCAGCACGGTTTGTTGCCTGTCATTTTGGGCCCGTGTTGCCGTTTCTTTGACGGGGTAGGCGTCCATCGTACCGGTGGAGGTTTTCTGGTGTCTCTTGCCCGGGCTAGGGTCGCCACGACTGGAATCGCTGCGCGCAGTCGCAGTTGGTTTCAGGATCGAAGGGCGGCTGGTTTGACAGTTCTCGTCGCAGCAGTTGTTTCTCTGCCTCCTGCTCTCTGTAACGCGATTGGTGACGAGCTTTAGTAAAGGGTAGTCGGCAACTAACCATACTAGGTAGCTTCGATTGGAAATACAAGGTATGTCACAACGGACTTACCCTATTTTTAGATCGAGAATCAGTCGCAAGAAATTAATATACAAAAAACAAGATCCACGTCTTCTAGATAACCATAGACCTATAACTATCACTAATGTCATTAGCAAAGTAATTGAGCGTTGCATATACAATAGATTATTCCCCTTCTTACTGAAATATAATATTATAACAGACTGTCAGGATGGATTTATTCCAGGCCGCTCGACAGAAGCTGCCTGTGTGAATTTCATTGAATACATCCACAAAAGTGTTGATAATGGTAAATAAATTCGACTCCATCGATCTTAAATTTGTTGAAGATAAACTCTACGCGTTGGGGATACGTGGAAATTTTCTTTCATGGGTTATTTCATTTCTGAGTTCGAGAAGAATTCAAGTGGAGTTCGGGAAAGTCAAATCAGATATATGTGGAATTAACGCCGAAGTACCACATGGCTCAGTGTTAGGACCTCTGATATTTTTTTTATTTATAAACGATATGCCATCCTAGATCATATCAAAATGCATTGTTCTATTTGCTGATGATACTTCTATTGCAGAAGAAGCCGAAAATCCGGTACAACTTCAAGCTAGATTGAATGCTGTGGCACATCTATTCACTACATGGTGTGAAAGTAACAAATCAATAGTGAACGCCGAAAAAACGGTACAGTTTTACGAAAAAAAAAAAAAAAAAAAAAACAGAAAAATTATATCTCAATGAAAGTTAATGTCAATTATACCACCATTCAACCCTCAGAAAGAAGCAAGTTTTTAGGAATACATTTGGGTGGTTAAAAAAACAAAAAATAACCGTGATCAACGTTTATTACGCTATCAGAAATTCACACATCTCTTTGAGCTGAAAGATATACAATCATAAAACCTCTTCAAGAAAAGAGTCAGAGAATTGTTGGTACTGCATAGTTTTTACTCCACCTCTGAATATCTTAGTTATGAGTGAACTGGAAGTACAGTTTTAAATTTTTAATTCTTGATATTTAATTCTCAACTCTCTGTATTTAAATGTCCTAGATGTATTTTGTTTGTGATTCTTCTATGAATGTTATGATTGTTTATTTTTAATATGTAGGTTTATTACGATTTATTTTTTTTATACTTCTTGACTGAAATGTCCTATTTCAAGTATATGAACTCAAAGGATGAATAAATATTCTATTCTATTCTAATGAAAATGTGCATGGCTCATATTTGAGATTACGCTCTTTTAATTCATTTAAACTATTTTCGACAATGCAGTATTGCCGCTTCTATCAAAAAGTAGCAACACCTAGTTATTTCAAACAAACTACCCTGACTTATATTTCAATTTATATGATTTTCCCTGAAGATCTGATTTCATGGATATATCACAACTTGGGTCTAGCAGGAATGGTTCCAAAAGCATATAAACCATTGCACTTTTCTCAGCAGAATGATTGAAAAATCGTACGTTCCTGTGCTGCAAATTGCACTCAATTTCGTGATTTGATAACGAAATAAGAATTATGCCATCCGATATCAATTGAATGGTAGATCTCAAAAACATACCTTGTCGAGAATGTTGCAAACGAAGAGAGCGTAATCTTAAATATAAGCATGAACATTTCCATAAATTTCATGCAACCGAATCTCGATGGTAAAAGTGCACTTATCATGCGATGGATTATTTTTCGAAATTTTTTTTCATGTTAAAAATATCTGAATAGATAGCGGTTTTTTCACATTTTCATTGTGAAATTCGTGTTTTTCAGACGAAAATACGTAAGTACCAAAAAAAAATTGTCGAAAAAAAACATCCCATGATAAGTACACTTTCATCTTCTCGATATATAGGTAGTGTGAGCTCCTCGTGACATACCCTGCATATGTCATCCTCTTGTCTCGTTCTTGTCTTCAGGAACGCTTCAGGGTTCCAACGTAAAGAGACTGAGGAATTCATAATATTGATAACACGAAAAATAGTGAACAGTGAAGGTTGAAATCGTCTTCTTCTCCATTTTTCCTAATTTACCAACCAACCCGGACAATTTTCATGTTTTCACGTTGGAACCCCGAAGAGAGAAGGATAAGATATATTTTCTCTGGCAAAGCTGGTTGATCAGCTCTATACTTGCCTTTTTTGTTGTTAGATTTTGAATGTCTTCTGCTTCTATTGCATCCAATATATATAACGGTACCGTCTTCTGTACCCAAGCGATGTTCCGCTTTGATAGAAATAGGAACACTAGATTTATTTGTAAGCTCTTCTTTCCTTTCGACGATTTTTCGAACTTGATTCTTATTTTCTGTTTCGATTCGTCTGTTATATAATGCTTGTGCGTTTTTGGGAACCTCTATCGGACTTTCTGTTCTAGAGGGTTCTTCTATTACTGGCGAAGATCGTTTTTCTAGGTTTGGGGTTGTGATGGGTCGCTCTACTACAGCAGGTGTAGATTGTTCTACAAGACAAATTGAAAAAGGGGTAAGATAATGAGCCAGCACAGGAGTATCAACGAAAAAAGAATGGTTTCTTTATGCCACCGCGACTTGACACTTTTTCATGACCTTCTCTCTACAGTAACATACTAGAGACGAACGTGAAGTGTCACAAAAAAATAGATATTGAAATTGTTATGTTTTATATGGGATTTATTCGAAATTTTGAGTTGCTAGTTGAAATTTTGAGGTGCACCCCAGAATTCCGATATAAAAGTCTGAGTTCTGAGATACAATTTACAATTCTATAATGTAAGTTCTAATTCTTAGTGATAAGTCATGATTCTAAGGTACAAATTATAATTCTAAGTTCCAAGTGAGAATTAATAGTTACAAGTCAGAATGGAGGGGGACTACTGATTTTTTAAAACAACATTAATGTGACCTCTATACCAAAAAAATGCCAGTAAATGAAATTTTGAATTTTTTTATTCATACTAGGACGATAAAAAAATAAAACAAAGTATGTTAATTTCAAAACACACACTTCCTGCGCTTTTTGAATTGGTCTCAATTCATTGGTGTGACTCCTGTGTGACGTATTAGTCCCAACACGCCTATTCACCTTGAGCTGACCAATCACTTTGCAATACTGCAGAATAGCAAGGTATCAGAGAGAGAGATAGCAACAGTTCGGGACTAATACGTCACGGCTTCACCTTATTAATACTTTTTGAAATATCGAATGGAATATACTGATTTCAAAATGAAAACGCTATAGGATTCACTTCAACTTTAAAATATAAAATTCATTGTACATTAAATTTGATGATGATTCATCGGTTGAAAGAGGTTTGAACAACAAATACCTCAGTGGTCTTCTCCAGAATTTTGATGTTTCAATTTAGTCTGAATTCTGAGATACAAGTTAGAATTTTTCGATTTATAATGGGATTGTGAGTTACAAAGTATTGATTTTACGATAAAGCAAGTTGAAATTCTGAGATACAAGGAATTTTATGATATGTCAGAATTCTGCGTTCTAAAGTCATAATTTAACGTTGCAAATTCGAATTACAAGTTAGAATTTTTCGATGAATGTCAAAATTCTGAGCTGAAAGTCAGAATCCCAAGTTACAAAGATGTAACTAAGAATTTCGCCGACCTCTAAAAAAATCACATTTTACGCGTTCTAATTTCCGAACGAAGAACCGACTATTTCCGAAAGCAAGAACAATTCGTCCGCAGACACTAACTTTTCGTCCGCTACAAAGTTGCCAGTTCTACTGAATTTTCAGTAGATCTCCTGATTTGCATATTGATCTACTGATATACTGAATCATTTCATAACCTACTGAAAGATATTCCGACACTTATTTATTATTATAATTACCTATTCGCGAGATTCACGAAGTGGGCGACATCTAGGTTACATAATACGAACTTCAAACTGGGGGAAAACAAACTGTTGTCTGTCATAGAATAAGATAACAACCTGTATACCCTACAGTCACATGCTTTTATATACCTCATGTTTTTATTACAATCTGGTTGTTGTCAACGTCTTGAAATAAAAGCAGTTTAGAATGAACTAGCGTATCATTCACATGGCGCTGCAAATATAAAAAGTACATGTTTTTTTCGGAAATGATAAAATTCAGACTTGTAAAGTAAAAATATCAAAATCGAAATAAGTGTAATGGGGGATTATCGTGGCATAGCTCCCATGGATATGAGTGGAAATGTGTCTGAGAATTGGAAATTCTGGATACAAAATTCAAAAATTACCTCGAGGCAACAGAATTAGAATTAGCGTCTGCGGACAGCCGCAAGTAATAACTCCGCGGTGGGAGAACGTTATTATATAGTGGGCAGTAGATGCGACTGGCGTTAGGCGGCGCCAACTGAATGACTTCATCATACTTCGCCTGGTTGGCTCAGTAAGCAGAGCATCGGCATGCCAAGCCGGCGGGTCGGGGTTGTATTCCGTGCGACGCTCATCTTTTTTTTATTTTTTTCTTGTTCTCAAGTGATTTCGAAAAAATATTCTCTATGGGAAATATGTTCATTTAGGGGTTTTCTATGTTTAGGCCAGAGGTGAGGTTCGGTTAGGTTAGGTTAGAATAGAATAGAATATTTTATTTGGTTTACATTACAGAAACATTAAGTTTTACACAGGTCAACGAAACAAGTACAGATATACTCATAAAATAGATAGGTTAGGTTTTCTCATTTTTTATGCAGGAACAATATTTTCCTTCCTCAAGAAGAATTCTCCTTCTAGAATATTTTATTTGGTGTTAATAAACATCAAGTTTTACACAGGTCAACGAAACAAGTACAGATATACTCATAAAATAGATAGGTTAGGTTTTCTCATTTTTTATGCAGAAACAATATTTTCCTTCCTCAAGAAAAATTCTCCTTCTTCAAGAAAAAAGGTTCATCTAGGTCGATTGATTGTTTAAAAAAAATGCCTTCCTTATATTAGACTCGACACAAGTTAACTAACGTTCTCCTACCACGGAGTTATTACTTGCGCCTGTCCGCAGACGCTAGTCAGAATTAGATACCAAGAAGGAAGACTTACAATGTGCTCAATTACTTCAATTCATTGGTGATGAAGGTATACGAATCTTTAATACCTTCAAATTCACAGACACGGAGATAGATAAACTGGCACCGCTCATAAAGAAATTTCAAGATTACTTTCAACCAAAGAAAAACTTAACTTTTGAAAGATACAAATTCATCAACAGAAAACAAATTGATGGTGAAGAGGCATACAACAATTTATCACTGATTTGAAGAATAAGGCAAAAAATTGTGATCTAGGTAGTCTAGAAGAAAGTTTAACTTGTTCGGTCTTCATGAGTGGTTTATTGTGTGCGGAATCCAGAAAACAAGAAAAAGTGATGACTGAGGAAAAAAGTCATGAGGTGAATGTGATTCAAGATCGAGTCGGTGGTAACCAATTTCGACGATTCCAAGGAAGGCCTTGAGGACTGAGTTTGTTTTCCCCCAGTTTTGACGTGGCTTTGACACGGAACGATGAAAACCGAGCGCCACCTGGTAACATTGATTTCGGCGAATATTATTATTAACCTTTTTTAATCACATATACTTATAAATCAAATGATATCTCAGCACATTACAAAATAAGTAATAAATTTACATGTATAGGTACTTATGATATGTATAAACCAAAAAATGACTTTACTGATTCAGATCAAAATCAATTTTGTATATACCTCTGTTATGGAAGTTTGTTTCTTTCTTACGTCTAATTTTTTATTAGTTTTTGTATTTTTGTTGTTCATTTTTACTATTCATTCCTGTTTTTTATATTCTCAAATCTTATAAGTACCTATGTAACTGTATTTCCATTTTGTTGAAAATAGGTTACTTTTCTGTTTACTAAAAGTACATAATTTTGTGACGTCATATGTTTATTTCATAATCCTTTCTCGGAATTCGTATAGCATAAAATAGATCTGAATTTTTGACAAAGTAGACAACAACTGTTATTTGCTCTTGTCATATTATTCAAGAAATCCGATCAATTTCACGTCAGACTCGACTATAATAGACAGTTTTTCGTCCTTGGAACATAAATAACTATTTTGATAGCCTTTCAGTGAAGAATTCATAATTATTCTGATGTTGACTCACCAGCACCATCTATAGAGTGTTCTGGAGAAAAAACTTTCCCAAGTGATGTTCGGTTCTCCTCTCTAGAAGTTTCAACTTCTGGATTTGCTGCTGTAACTCTCAAAGCTTCAGAGTTCTCCCTATGCGGTGTTTGGTGCTCTTCCAGAGAAGTTCTAACTTCTGGATTTGCAATCGATACTCTATAAGGTCTCGAATTGTCGATTTCTGATGCTGTTCTGGATACGTCCAAGTTCTCTCTGGATTTTTCGTGGCTGGTGAAAAGATTCCCTATGTTGTCAGCTTGTCGATCTTCCGGTTTAGCGTCTGCGTAAATTTTCAAATTGGCGCAAGGTTTTCCCAGGATGCTGATGCACCAGCCGTCGCTGAGGAAGCTGCTGTTGGAAACCACGTTTTCCCTGGAAAATATCCCGGATTCTTCAGAATCCTTTCTTTGGAGTTCGACACTGGATAATTCTCTCTCGGGAAGGTCTAGATCTAATTCATTATACATTTGGAGGGGAAATATTGGGGTTCATTCGGGTACAATTTTTCTACAAATAAAATGGCTGCAATCGAAAATATTCCATGGATTGACAGTATTTTGGTACCACAATCAAATTTGACTTTGACAATTTTGACTGTGCACATAAAAATATTGAGGATGTACAGGGTGTTTGCTAAACAATCAAAAAGGGTGATACAGGATCTTGCTCAAAAACCAGCACAACAAAATAGAGGTTCTCATCAGTGATAGAAATTATCAGAATGAGAGTATTTTTTTAAATACTGTCTGTGGGTTGATCGAGGAGGTCGTACATTCATTATTCCAGATTTTTCGGGATTTTCTCTCCTCATCTCTATAGAATACAAATTAAAATATGAATATTATTTCAATATATACATGTAGTACGAACACATATCAGATGATTTGCCCCAAAATGTCACTTCGTTTAAAGAATTTTCCTATCTGAGAGCCTAAAAGAAAAATTTACTAGCCTGTCAGTGACAATTTGTATTGGAAAAAGTTTGGAGCAGAGAAATAAAGGTATATAGAAAAAATATCAAATTTTTTCTTAGCTTTGGACGTTTTGGGAGCGAATCTGCTACCGTTTTCAACATAAAAAATGGATTTTTTGTATCGCAAATTCGTATTCGTCCTGAGAACTGAAAAGTGTCAGGACAAATACGAATTTGCGAAGCAAAAAATACTTTTTTATGTTGGAAAGGGAGCAGATTCGTTCCTAACACGTCCAAAGCTAAGTAAAAATTTGATATTTTTTTAAACAACTTTATTTCTCTTCTCCAAACTTTTTTCAATACCAATTGGTTGATTGATTGATTGTCTTTATTACCCTAAAGAAACATAGTTGTTTATAATAGGGATACATAAACAATATACATAATGTTTCTACATTCAATTATGAAATAATGATAAGATATAACAATAAGTAAAAAAATGCAAATAATCATGCAATATCAACCTTGTCTTTTATAAGTAAATTGAATTATCACAGTCTCTGAAGCAGATATTTTTTCAGGTTAGTGAATTTTTCTTTTAGGCTCTCTGATAGGAAAATTCTTTGAACGCTGTGACATTTTGGGGCAAATCATCTGATTTGTCTAGTATTCTACAGGTATATTGAAATAACATTCATATTTTTATTTTATAAATACGAGGAGAGAAAATCCCGAAAAATCCGGAATTATGAGTATTTTTTGAGTTCAAAACATGTTATCAAATTTTTGTAGGATCTCAAGCGGTCTAGAAGGAAACACTGAGTCATTTTTAGTGTGTCCTTCTACAAGCTCGATCACTTCACCCACCATTCATGCCAAGATTGAATATGAAGCATCCATTTTTTTCTTAAATACTTCGGTCTTGCGTGAATTTGGATGTCAATTTTTTTATTGAACATGAAGAGAAATACGGAAGAAACTCACAGAAAATATGCATGTCCAGTTCCTCAAATTAATCTGAAAACTATGAAATTTTTGAAAAAAATATCAATTCATGCTATTTATTGCATAGAAAAACAAACAACGTGGGTGTTCTCCTGTAATGTCTGGATCAACTTTAATATGTCTAACAGACCGTTCGTAAAATCATTAAGTTTTATTGAATATGTCCAGAGCTTATTCCAAATAACTAGTGATTTTTTCATCATTTTGATCCAGGGATTATCACCTTAACCTATTGACATATATGTTCAGGAAACACCCCGTATAATACGACTACATTGTTATCAATATCCCACAATGAGGAAAATAACAAGATAAGTTTCATTTCTAAAGGTCGTCATCTTGAAATAATTCAACTACATTCTATGGTTATCAATATAATAAAATACAATATACAGATAAATAATAAACATAGAACATTCTCAATCACAGCTGGAAATAGACTTCAAAGCAAAATGAACCATGAACTTGACTTTGCCCAACAAATTATACAGATAATTGATTCATCATGTTTTATTTCAATTAAATTAATTGTTTGAAAAAAAAATATTTATTTTTCTATAAAATGATGGATAGCTACTTGAAAGTTAAGGTGACAGCAAAAGTGTAATCTTTGCTGTCAGTAGATTGTCGAAACAGCTGAGCATGTTGCCAAGCAACGTCACCTTTTCCACCAGACAAATTCGCCTTCAAACACAAACTACTGCAACCTGAAAAGTTTTCAAACACTGCTTTCATTTCACCTGAAAAAAAAAAAATCATTCATTGTTCCTTTATGATATTCAATGAACAAGGAAAAAAAAACACCAGGAACATATTCATACCTTTGGGTAAAGACACACAAGAGTCCCCTGCACATATTGTGAAATCCACAATGCCATTTTCGTATATTTTATGATCGAATTTGATTGAAAGAGTTTGCAATTTTTTGTTGGCACTCGCTATATCAAATTTCCACGATATGCTCCCATTTTCAACACCCTCTGAAAAAACACACGATTATAAAAAAAATCCTTCGAAAAGCCGAGAGAACTTTTACTAATCACCTTTTCTAGCCAAATACGTCATTTTCCAATCTTTCTCCACTTTCTTGAAAACCCCACTTTGTGCGTAAGCTCCCCTATCCCATCCAGACACTTCCCCTAAAATACGATTTCCGGATATACATTCGTACTTGTCCAGAGAACTGGAATATCTGATGGTGACTGTACCATCAGAAACATCAGCAGGGTTTATTCGCCAAACGTAAGAAGAAGATTTAGATTCTTCCTGGATTTCCCCCCTGGCTAGACGCCACATTTCTGAGCCAGAAGAACGACCTTTGTTTTCCTCACTGTTAGGTTTCCTGGAAAACAGGCTAGGTGAATAATATAAAATATGACAAGATGGCAAAATATATCATTATATATAATTTGTTCGCTTTAAGCGTGACTTCATATGAACAATAGGCGAAATTGCTGAATTTTAGAGCTCAATGACGTCAGTATTTATGCTGTTCCATTATTGGTCAGATAATCTTCCATTCCTACTCATGAAGCAAGATTGTCAAGTCACCAATTATAATCAGGTTATGAAAATATGTTAAAGTCCTGTTGTTGAATTAAACATAATAGGAGGAACCCATGACTTCCAGACTTTTTCGAGCAACCAGCAAGATTTCCTATACTCCATAACAAAATATCATGTAAATGTTGGAGACTTGGCAACATTGTGCTGAATGCTGAGAACTGACAAGACCACGCCCACAATTCGTTATAGTGTACGTTGGTACGGACAGATCATAGCTCCTTTCTCTTTTAATCATCTAGTGACTATGGTTTCGTGTATTGGTGTCCCTGACATGACATTGCTGTCACGCCACATTCGTAGGCGTTGGAAAAGATCTTACAAAATTTCAATTTCATACTTGATCTTAATACGACATTATACAATTCTGTTTCGGAAGGATGGTAAAATGTGCTGCGTTAAGCTGTATCAATCAGTTGGACGGCAAATTTGAATTTGTCAGCTTTCCATCAAATGCAAATGAACTTAGAACATGGAAAGTGAAATGACCGAATGGGGAAAATTGGTAAATACATCAGCAAAATATTCGAGGTAAAACTAATGCGAAATCACATATTATACTTGCTCATTGTGCCTATAAATTATCCACTCCATAAGTTTTTGAATGCATTTCAGTAGAAACAGTTTTGATTAAAACGGAGGATTAAAAGAAGAGGCATATGCCCTACCATTAAAAAAATTATACCTACATTGAGGAAATATTGAGTGTTCGTGAAAAATTGCATAAATGATTCCCAACATGAATATATACAGCACACATGACATTAATTTGAATACCTACATACAATTTTTCATCATTTCTCAACCATAAGGCTTAGTCTGAAATCAAAATTCATTTATTGATAGGTACTGCCTAAGTACAGTCCCATTTGGTAAAACGTATCAAACTTTCAGAAACATTTGCTCACTGCCTCACAAAGATTATGCTGAAGTTGAAATATCAAAAACTCGAAAATTATCATCATTTGGATATAATACGTAGAGTTGAATGAGAAATTACATGTGGAAATTACGTATGATACGCCAATGTCCTCAATATAACCTAAAAAACAACAAATGTTAGGAATCTGGTATTTATCCCCAGAAATGAATAAAGATGGAACTATATAACTGTTTCATAAACACTTTAGAGTGAGAGGAGACGAGGATCTGTCCGTACCCTGTTAAGATGACAAATACGTCAATTTACATCAAGGGACCCTAGGTACAGTTAAGCGGCGTTCACAACCAAACTTTTTACGTTTCGTATTCTGATTGGTGAAGCAGAATCTGGAATTAAACGTATCTGGAAGTAAACCTATGCAAATGTCATTCCTTGGTTTTGTTATTTGTTTATCATCCTGAAATAACAATAATATTGATCAGATAATTAATAATATTCATAAAATTGGCGGTGACGAAAATTGATCCTTATTCAATACTTGAAGGGAAAAATCAATCTTCAACAAGAAAATAATGAATTGAATAGTATACCTATTTACTATTCTGTGGATTCACGAAAAAATCATGCAAACATTATCATAATTTCCATATTAATACAGAATGTTCCATATTATTCGTCTATTTTTAATATTTTCACAGACGATGACTTCTTGCAACGCAAAAAGCTGAATATTTTCAACTTTTTGCGTCATTTCAATTACAGATTTTGCTTCACCACTCAGAATACGAAACGTAAAAAGCATAACGTAAAAAGTTTGGTTGTGAACGCCGCTTTAGTTTCAGATAAAATGGGGGCTGGTTGCCCGACCGGGCGATTCTTCAATTAGAAAAAAAGCCAAATACTGGAAGTGGAATCACAGTAGAGAGCTTAGCTCTCTACTGTGGTGGACTAGAAAAACAGGGATCATGACGGCTTCACCTCCCGAATACTCACTTCTCCGTCAAAAACTCCACCAACTCCATAACAACCCTCCTGGCCAAATACTTCCTTCTCGCCTCCGACACCCCCTTCTGCACCCTCCCCCTCAACTCTAACAAACCATCCAGCAACTCCTTTTCTCCGCATAGTTTTCTTCTTTCCAGCACCGCCTTATGGCAGCTCGAGTACCGCCACGTGACATCTTGGACGTCATCGCAGGAATACGCGATGACGTAGGAGACTTTTTTGCCCCACCCCGATTCGTACATGAGGGGTGTGTCGCAGGCGTTTTCGCATGGATCGCAGTGCAACCAACGGTTCTGGGTCACGGAGAATACCTAGAAATTGGCGGTGATGCTGAGAAAGTGTCTTTTCTCACCAATGGAAGAAAGCAGATGTCCTTTTTGGGTTTGTTCGATGATGGTCGTAGGAAGCAATTTTTTATTGTGATAATTTAAATATTTATTCTGTAGTTTTATTTTATATTTTATATCTTACATGTGTACAACGTAATTTCATTGTGATAATTTTAATATTTCTTTTTGTACTTGTATTTTATATTTATTTATGTTTGTTGTTGTTGGCCCATGAGGTAAAAGTATTGTACCAAACTTTATTTAATGACTTTATACAAACTATACAGTTTTTTACGTGATTCTTTATCATATCCATAGTTATCTAATAATAACCGTTGCTCCTCCGTATTTGTAAATGACTTTGTCAATGAGAATTGAGTTCTTTAGACAATAAAGTAAGTATATTTGATTGATTGATGCGGTGTCAAAATATCGGACAAATCAAACGCTGGCATTCATTTCTATGACATTTACTGTACAGGGTGTCTGTAAAAGGTCTTTACAAAAACATACCACATATTCCCTAGACCAAAATAAGTCGATTTAAGTAAAATCAACTGAGTACAAAGTTGCATCGTTTGGGCTCCAGAGGGCCTTGAAGTTATAAATTTAAATCGTTTATTCTCCCATATAAATTTAAAACGGCATATGCGATTTTGCTGAAATTTGGTATATTGATAGAGTTTTATGTGGCAAAAAAATGGTGTTAAAATTTTGTCCGATAATAACACATAGGCGTAGAACTTGATTTTTTAAATAATTGCACCTTTAAAAATTCTACGCCAATGGAAGAAAAGGAGTTTGAGTATAAAATTTAGATTGCGCAACTCATTTACTTCAAAAAAGGTACTCATGATAAGACTCGATTGCTCTCATGGTTTTGACGAAATTTGCATTTTAGTAATTTTAGAACATAAACAATAATTATTAGAATACCAACTTTGAGTTTGAGTTGATAAAATTAAAACTGCCTCTACTTTATTGATATTCCCTGTACAGTTTTGAAAACACAACCTGCAACTCAAACATAATTAGAAATATTTGACCTTGATCTTAATCTTGCATAGGTCTTTTTCACCATTTTCAATTAAAGATCTATTATATTTTCAACTATTGAAACTGATGCCAGTGCAAACTTTGATTTTGGATCAGATATCTTGATTCAAGTTCAGTTGAAGAATATACATATTTTCAACAAAACTGAACTGAAAAAAATGTCATCAGCTTAGAGAAAACATGGACACTTCACTGTGAGAGAAATAACTGATGTTGAGGTTTCTTAGGAGGGAATTATACAGGGTGTCCCTAGACCAGTGGGACAGTTGAATATCTCCTGAACCAATAGGAATTTTCAAAATATTATGATTTTCCATCATATCGCATTATGAGTGCTAACTTCAGGAATGACTATATTTTCTACGAGGGGCACAAGAAAGGCTCACAAAATCGAACATCAATTTTTTCAAATGGAACACCCTGTATGTCATTGCATTTTCATAATCTCCTTGAAGAACTGAATTCAACGACCTAGCACACTTGGGGTCTAGCGGGAATGATTTCCGAGATATAGGGTGTGGAAAATCGAGATTTTTCATTTTTGGGATTTTTTTGTGTCAAAACTATTCATCATTGGTCAATACGGCTTACATGTCCATGTCTTAACTTTTGATTTACTATTTACTCGTATTTAATTGAAACAAATACAGGGTGGTGTAAAATTCTGACTGAAACTGAGAATTCTACACCCCCCTGTATTTGATTCAATCAAATACGAGTAAATAGTAAATCGAAATATAAGATATGGACATGTAAGCCGTTTTGACCAATAATGAATAGTTTTGTCACAAAAAATTCCCAAAAATGAAAATTAAATCTCGATTTTCCACACCCTATATCTCGGAAATCATTCCCGCTTGACCCCAAGTGTGCTAGGTCGTTGAATTCAGCTCTTCAAGGAGAATATAAAAATGCAATGAAATACAGGGTGTTCCATTTGAAAAAAATTGATGTTCGATTCTGTGAGCCTTTCTTGTGCCCCTCGTATAAAATATAGTCATTCCTGAAGTTAGCACTCATAATGCGATATGATGTGAAATTATAATATTTTGAAAATTCCTATTGGTTCAGAAGATATTTAACTGTCCCACTGGTCTAGGGACACCCTGTATATCAGAACTGATGATAAATTCTTAAATTAAGCACTTGCAAAGACCAGACTGACAGTTTTGTATGGGTCACTAATAGTTTTGAATTAGTCACTGATAGTTTTGAGAAAGTAATTTCAAACTCTTTTTCCTAGAGGAGCCATATGAAAAAAATCACCTCTGTCCACACATGGTCAGTTTCATCCAAAACAAATCTGCTGTCCCAACCCATTGATCTACAACAGAGTGTAAAAGTGTTGGCCCATTCTCCACATCTTCCTCTTCTGGTCTCCAACAAAATATTCAAGTCATTGTATCTGGGAAATGGTGTCAATTTACTACAAGTTTTACAACGATGGAGCTGAAAAATCATGCTCAATCAAAGATTTTGCATTTGAATAGTTGACCAATTCAAGTGATGACAGTTTACAATTAAAACTAACCTCTACTCTATCAGTGTACTGTAAATGATTTCGATCTGTACTCATGTGAGAAAAACTTGTTTCATTTCCACAACTTTCACAACTAGGACTGTCTACCCATTCAAAAAATTCCTCCTTGAACCATCTCAACAATTCCAAGATCATAGTATCTTGTATACTTAGATCTGGATCATCCAATTTATCTAAAATAAATATTTATACATCTCCATGGCATGATATACAAAAATATGCATCAATCTTATAAGGTCCATTTTGCTTACTCTTTTTTATATGTTCTTGAATGATTCTCAACCGTTTTTGGGCATTTTCTTCTAGAATAGCCACAGGTATAATCTTCCTTGTTCTTTCTTGTAGATGACTGTCCTCATATTGTAAAACACTGTGAGAGTAAGTTTCTATTCTCCTTAGAAAAGGGTTGGAAAAAGTCTGTAAAATGAGTGAATTTCCCATACTCTGTGATGCATACACATGAGCATTATTAAAAAATTGTACCAAGATTTTACCCAAGTTTTCTCAGACCCTTTATAACTTAATTAGGTGATGATTTTGAAATCATGATCTGGTTCTGTTATCTTGGATATCAAAAGAGGTAATAAAGTATACACATCATGACAAATAAAGGAGTAGAAAATTTTCTAGTACCTAAGAATATTTTGATTTTCATAAATTGGATGTACTCACCAGTATGAGAGGTGGCAACACAATTTTTTTTATGACCGTTTCTTTCAGCTTATTTTCCACAGCACTGACAGAAGGCAGAGTTGTGGTGTTATTAACCTGAAATAGTAACAGAGGAATTACATTTCACTCATTGAATTGAACTACTCTGTAGTTTAAACACTTCAAATCATATTTACCTTTTCAATGGTTTGACTCCTTTGATCCACCAACTTTCTCCATTCTACAACAGACTTCTTAAATTCTTCAACACTGTTTAAGGGCACATTAGTAGCCATTGTGAAACAGGTATCATTCTGCATGAAAAATTACAATATTGTAGAAATTTTCTAAATGTGCAAATTACATGATTAGAAGTACCTCTGAGAAACCCATGAGCTTAAGACATTCTGCTCCACCTTTTACAGACAAGACTTTACTAGATATAGTGGCATTGCTCTTCTGTAATGTACGTTTTTTCAAATCTGAAGGGGCTTTCAGTATGTTATCTGCTATTTTACAAAGGATTTTCACTGCGTCGTCGTATACATGTTGGGGATTCCTTTCCAATTTTTCAAACACTTCTTTATAACCCATGATTTATTAATATTTGATTCATAAAAACGTAATCATTATCAATTGATAATAATAATTAGATGAAATGATAAACATGAACTACTCATTCAAAAAATTGACAATTACTTGGTTAGGTTACATTCCACTTCTTTTTTACGACTATACTGTACAGGTGTTCCTAAAATGGTTTATTGGAATTGGATTAGGAACTAAAGGAGCAATCGACAATAAATAGAAGTAGAATACGTCGTAGACACTTTTTGACAATCTTTTGACGTTTCGATTTAACTTTTTGGTTAGTTTGTTTTGATAGAAAAAATGTTATATTTATGTTTAAATATTCAGTACAAAAATTTTTAACTGGAACCTGAAACGTATATTATTATCAACGATGATCAAAGCTATTCTTGTATTCAATAATCATGGAAAACCAAGACTATCAAAATTTTACCAATATTTTGTAAGTAGATGATTCAGGGGCCCAACGGCACTAGCTCCATAATGTTGTTCAATTTCTAGGCAGAAGATATGCAACAACAGATCATCAAAGAAACTTTCCAGTTAGTTTCTAAGAGAGATGATAATGTTTGCAATTTTTTGGAAGGAGGCAGGTACAACTTGTAATTCCAATAATCCTGGCAAGTCAGTTTGAAACTTTTTTTTTTCAGTTTGATAGGGGGCAGTGACTACAAACTGATTTATAGACATTATGCAACACTTTATTTTGTCTTTTGTGTGGACTCTTCAGAGAGTGAACTAGGAATCCTAGATCTCATACAAGTTTTTGTTGAGACACTGGACAAATGTTTTGAAAATGTTTGTGAGTTAGATTTGATTTTCCATGTTGATAAAGTACATTACATACTCAATGAATTGGTCATGGGTGGCATGGTTTTAGAAACAAACATGACAGAAATTCTAACAAGGATAGAAGATCAAAACAAACTGGAAAAACAAGAGGTATTTGCAAGAACTATTTCTTGAAATAAATGTAACAGTATCTTTTTTTCAGGCTGGGATAGCAGCAGCTCCTGCAAGAGCAGTATCAGCTGTCAAAAACATGAACATTCCTCAGCAGATCAAAGACATCAAATTACCTGATCTCCCGCAGGCCATCAAAGATCTCAAGTTCTGACCTCAAGTCAGCAAAAATCACTTCCAGAGCATCAACATGGCGACATTCCACCTACCCCCTGATTCAAAAGGTCTTTTAGAGGATCCATCTTCTGTTAAATATACTTGATCATCAATTCACCTGTTCCAAGGTGACCAGAACTCTCAAGAATTGTGCAATTTTATATAAAAGAGAGCTAGCCACTATTTCACTAGTGATTATTTAATTATTTAAATTGAATGTAATAAAAATATGAGATATTCACAGTGATTTTCTTTGACCCTATTGCAGTAATAAAGAAAGCAAAGAATCAATAGTGTAGTTGAACATTTTATTTCAATTAATAATGGTAAAAAAACAGTTATTCTTCAACAAAAACAAAAATTTTTTGCATAAAAGTTAATCTTCAATATTACTAGAACTATTTTTTTTACTTATCATTATTGCTGCATTGTACAATTGCCTATTTACAATACGTAATTTCTGATTGTCTCTCATCAAGTCAGACCTAATCTTTTCATTGGACAATGAAGTTTCCTCATCACTGAGTTCAATATCTTCAGTCTGGATCTGAGATATTACAAAATCAGTATTTGTATCTCTACTTCTCTCCAAACTTTTCAGTATGATCTTAGGCTTAAAGTTTTCTACTGAGAAGTTTTTGTATGCCAATACAAATTTCACATTTGTGATAGGGGCCTTATGCTCTATCTTTTTCAGTATCTGCCTACTCTTCAATTCCCAAGTGATAACAAAATGATCTTCACTACCAGACACTAATACATTATTAGAGTTATTAAGAGCTAAGCAGACAATCCTTTTCTTGTGTCCAATGAATGTGAGTTCAGATTTTTCATCTACATGATGTGATATTGTTTTCGGAGGATTCTTCAAATTGAACTGCCTAATGCTCCCCTTTTCAGTTCCTACAAATAACTGCCAACATGGTGAGTCAAAAACAACACTTGTCAACAAATCATCAAAGACGAGGGTCAAAAGGGACCTTCCAGTGAGAAGGCTGTAAATGCGGCAAGTCTGGTCACTGGACACAGTAGCAAACCTGGATTTTCTACCAAAATGACCAACATGTATATCCCTAATTGGCATAGAATGGTCATTCTTCACATATACAGGCTCTACCTGACCAATATCAAATTGTGATAGGAAGTTATTTGAAGTGGCAGTCAAGTCACTCAAGTTATAAGCTATCAGTATACCATCTTGTCCTGCTACTAACAAGAAGTCCCCATCACTAGAAAACTTAATGCAGGTCACAGGCTGATAGTTCTTTTGCTGAAGAGTGATGAGTTTTCCAGAGGATAGATGCCACAAGTATATTTTGCAGTTGATGCCTACAGCTAAGTATATGTTGTGAGGACAGACTGCCAAACAATTTGCAGGTTCCGGCAGAATCAACCTTATGTTTTTAGCTACATTCTGATTATTCAATGGCCACACGTGCAAAAGTGGTTTGCCAGCCTCTGAAGTTAGTAGATAATCTTGTCCCAAAAATTCCAGGCACTTGCTTGAAACTGTACCCCCATTCCGGTAGAACTTCTGTGCATTGAGAGTGTTGTAGTCCCATAGGCAGGCTGAACATTGCTGAGACGATTGTGAAGAAGTAATCAAATACTCATTCGAGTCCATTACAACTATTACAAGTTACAAGCTCTGCTTTAATTCCAAACAGAAGGTGATCGATGTGATCCAGAAGCAAAGAACATTCCATAACCTCAACTTGTAACTTCTTCTTCCTCCCCTATTTTACTAGCCTTCTAGAGTCTGGATCTGAAGCCACTAAATCAATAAAACACAAAACGCGTATGGCTTCAAGTCTAGAGACCAAGACTAGAAAAAAAGGAAGAAGTAGTTATGTGCCGGCGGTCAATGGATGTTGGTTAGCTTGATTTTTTTCTACGACTTTCTCTGTTTATATCATACCATGAACAACTATGCGAAAAAAATCAACTTTAGCAAGTTTAGCAATACAAACGAACTGTTAAGTCGTTAAAAATCTCTACCTGTTGGAACACCAGAGGATTCGCTCACCGGCGTCGGAGAGCCTCAGTAGCAGAAAAAGGCCGACAAAGAAAAGACGAAAAAAATCTCTTTATTCCCGCCAGAATTCAGGCATTTCAATAAATTCAATATTCATTAAATATATTTTTAATTAGTTTCAATTTCTGGATTGATCATGGAAGTGTTCACATTGTGTTCAGAAGGTGAAATAAAATTGGGCATCCAAATAGTATCCTAGATGCATTATGCATTGAATAAATCAATAAATTGAATAAGGAGCAATATTCCTTCCCCTATTTACACATGAATAAACAAAAATTAATTAATAGGCAGGTACATCATCAGTTTGATAAAGTGTTAACTAGCAGCATCCAATCTCAAAGATTTACCATCATCTTTCCTCAGTTGTTTAAGAGCTAATTTAATGACTTCTAAAATACCATCAGCCAATTCTGAAGCTGTATAGGGCTTCTCTAATGGTGGAACATGGACAAAAAGTGTCCTAGAAGGATTGATGTTCAAGGAAGTGTAGTAAGTGAATTCACATAGATATCTGAAATAAAAATTTCAAATTATTCAAGAATTAATAGACTCCAAAGTGTCAATATTAACCTTCCTGCCTCCTGGGACACACAAGTCAGTATTTTTCCTGAATGGTTCAATTTGTCACTGATATCCCTCACATCTATCCCTGTAAAGATACATGCATCCCCTTCACAAGAGGCTGTACCAGTAGAATGACAAGTATCAGTACAATCTCCTTTTATGTACCCATCACGATATGCACAAGTTTCTATTGTTAGTTTCTCTGCCAGGGACGAGACTCCAACATGTATCACTAACTGCGAAAACATATGATTAGGAATTCAGCTGACAGGTGTAGAGATTCTGCTCAATGATACCCACATTTGGATTGTATTCTTTCCACAGTGAGGGCACTTTAGATTCTACATGGTCATACACCACAGGAATTTCTTGTATGACTATGTCCATACCATCAACATTGGCTGGTAACAATTTCACTGCTTCCCAACTGGCATTTACTTTGTGGTCCTGGAAGGGGCCGAATCCTGTCACCAACACAATATCAGACATTCTGTTACACTTTCAGGAGATATTTTTTCACGTGACACAAAAAAGATAAACAATACTTAATTGAAAGCCAATGAACTGAATGTAGTAGTTGTATTGAGTTCATTGCTGAAAGCACAACAGTATTTTTGGGATAATCATTCCAAAAATGAACTCTAACCTCACATCATCTCTGTGATTATGGTATTTTTAATATATGGTCTAACGTACCAATGTACTTCAAGGATAGTGGCCTCAAGGTCCGAGTCCATAGTTCAAAATAAATTCAAAAAAGAAGATCGATATTATGCCAAGAAAAGAAACGTAGAAGGTAGAAGAAAAAAAAAAAAAAAGAAGAACGACCCCAAACTAGCAAAAGGTGCCCCAGGGAATCCTTGCCCCTGAGATCCCTGATCACTTATATTTATTATGGTTCCCTAGTCTTGAGAAGGGGTCTCCACCAGAGAGTTGGAATCATAAAATCAAATACAATTTTTTCATTGTTAAAATGTTTTACATTGTACATTCTGTGTGCCCAAAAACGAAACAAGTTGAGAACTTACTACGAAATTCTTGAGTCGATTTATGATTGCAGTAGTCCCACCACCATACAAACTCATTTGACCCTTGGCTTGAATTTACTTGAATCTATTCTGAAAGTGTTTTAGTAACCTAATATACAGAGCTGTAGCGAATGATTTCAAATTATGGCGCATTCACCAAAAAATCAACGTAACGCCAATTTTTACTCCTTCACCATATTTTTAAATTGCTTTTTGGGTGCAATCTGTATACACAAATTTCACAAACATATAGACTGCATGAATTTCAGGGAGACTATTATTCAGGCCTTAAGTACCGAGGAGATACTTGAATGGAATAGATGAGTAGGTATGTATGAGTTGTTATTAAGAAATTCCTTCAACTGACCTCGATCGTTGTGAAATGTTCATGCGAGTCGCAGTAAATTGTATCTTGGCTGTTTCCCTTGGACCAGCAATATTTTCCAAGTGGGCAAGTTTACACATTCCCCATGGAAACATAATCGGGATAAACACCTGAATTTTCCTCCCTCTTTTCAACATAAAATGAACTATTTATCATCATTGGGTCTAGCTGATTCGGAATTTATTACAAGGAAAAATTTTGAACCAGCAACAATTTCGAGAAACGATAAACGCAGATCGCACTTTTTGTCAAATTTCATCCTATTTGTTCCACTCATTTTTGAACAGTGGACAAAAAAGTATTTTTTTATATAATCTTTCACCTCGTCTCACGGACAAATGGTACATTTTGTTATACAGGGTGTTTCATAGAAAAAGGGAAATATTCCAATGGTAGATAGAGGTCACCAAGGTGGTTCTGAAAATACCATATTTGATAGGTCTCAGAGTCTTCATAACGGAGATACAGGGCGATTTATCGATTTCGAATAATTATTCATTCGTCTATATGTATTGACCTACCCAGTATATTTTTCCCAAATTTGGTAAGGAGCTTATACTTGGGACGTTGAATTCATTCACCTATCGGGCGGAGTGAAAATCCAGGTTCGGCTTGAGGAAAAATTTACATTTAATCGAAATATTAAAATAACAGACTGTATTTAATAATTAACACAGTACATCAAAGAATTGTGAAGAGGAGGAAAAACTGAATTGAGTTTGATGCTGTTTGTTTTCCCGCCACCAATTCTTATCGTAACAATCATAAACAGAAAGTTGAAAGTATGTCAATTTGAAGAGAATTAAAATTATGAAACCAGTGTCAATTATAATTATTTGATATATTTTACTCAAAAAATCGCTCGTAAGTACTTACTAAGTCTCACAGTCTCTATAACGGAGATACAGGGTGAATTATCGGTTTTGAATAATAATCATTCACTCGTCCATAAGTATTAAACTACCCAGTAACATTTTCTCAAATTTGGTATGTAGCTTACTTGGGACGATGGATTCATTAACCTATCAGGCGGAATGGAAATAATACCAAATAATTATAAATCGATAATTCACCCTGTATCTCTGTTATAAAGACTATGAGACTTTTCCTGAAGCTGAACCTGTATTTTCATTCTGCCTGATAGGTCAATGAATCCATCGTCCCAAGTAAGCTCAATACCAAATTTGAGAAAATATTACTGCGATGGGTAGTTTTAATACTTATGGACGAGTGAATAATTATTCGAAACCAATAATTCACCCTGTATATCTGTTATAAAGACTGCGAGACCTAGTAAGTTCTTTCGAACGATCATTTAACAAGAATATATCAAATAATCATAATTGAAAGTGGTTTCATAATTTTAATACTCTCCAAATTGGCATACATTTAGCTTTCTGTTTATGACTGTTCCGATGAGAATTGGTGGCGGGAAAACGAAAAGCATCAAATCCAGTTCAGTTTTTCCTCCTCTTCACGATTCCTTTGATGAACTCTGTCAATTATCACATACAGTGTGTTATTTCAATAATTCGAATACATGTAAATTTTTCCTGAAGCCAAACCTGGATTTTCACTTCGCCCGATAGGTGTATGGTTTCAACGTCCCAAGTATAAGCTCCATATCAAATTTTAGAAAAATATACTGGGTAGTTCAATACTTATAGACGAATGAATAATTAATCGAAATTGATGAATCGCCCTGTATCTCCGTTATGAAGACTCTAAGACCTATCAAATATGGTATTTTCAGAACCACCTTGGTGACCTCTATGTACCATCGAAATATTTCCCTTTATCTGTGAAACACCCTGTATAAATAGAGTCCAATCCACTTATTGATATCAGCACATCATTAGCAAATAGAATGCAATATCAGTTATCGGAATAAACTAACATGAGATACCTGATTAATTTGATATAATTCTATTATGGTGGTTAGCCTAAAAGTATATATACGAGGAATTATAATTCTCAATTTTTTAGAATCTGCATCAATAATAATAATAATAATAATAATGGATTTTATCCAGAATCCAGGATTCTTCTTCGCATTCTCAAATAGATCACCCCGTATACGTGTTTAGAGCTTTATTCACGAATCCGGAACGAGCCTGTAAACTAAACCGGTAGAGATAGAGGCGCAACAAGAACGCAGGCGCAGTCTGGCTTGACCCCTTCCAGATATCCAGACGGGCTCCATACAGGTTTCCAGTTTTCGACAAGTTCAGTGAATCCAGACACTGAACTCGAGTTAGTGTAGCTGAAAAGGCTCACAGCTGAAAGAATTCGCTGCGTATTATCACCCGGGTAAGTCGATTAGGATAATTTTACGAAATTCCACCAGGTTATTTTGTTCCTTCCGATCGTTTTTTGGATTTTTTGTCATCTATTTGATTTCTTTCTTGTACACAATCGATTCTGTAGGTGGACAAGTATGATAATTTCAATATCCATTTTTGATGAGGCAAATATATTTACAAGGCGTTGGTACTTTGGTTAGGGGTTTTATGAATGAAAACTTGTAGCATCTGATTGATGTTTTCTGGGAAACAGGACTGCGATGTTATAATATATTGATTTACAATTAATTTTCCCTCAATTTCGGTAATAGTTGAACTGAAAAAATTGAATATTTGCTTTCATCCAATTTGTGAGATAGAATGCAGATTCTCATCAATTGACAAATAATTATTGACTGATAATATCTTCTTCAGAATATTCCAAAACTTGTAATTTTAGTTGTGAATCCAATGATGGTAATATGTCATTTGAGTTGATTCATAGATTGAAGATGGTAAATAAGAAATGGATTTAGTTTTTAGTGAACATGAGAAATATTTTCATTGGACAAATTTCGTCACGAAAAGTACTTATCTGCATAGGGTATGTTTAGGAAGATTGAAATTGAAAATTTTCGAGATTTCACGAATCAGATTTTTTGAAAATGCATTTTTCTTCGAGGGATATTATGAACCTCATGAAAATAATTTTTTTCTGTGACGGGAAAAAAGTTTGGCATTCCATCTCTGTTGGCAGGTTATAAAATGTCACTTTTCACAAATTACTTTTTCCTCGTGGGAAAACAGTGAGTACTTTTTTCCCAGATATATATCACATATATATATATATATATATATATACTGTTGATGGCTTTTGTTGTGCTGTAGTTCCGAAAAATGAGTCAATAATACCGTCTCCGAGATAGAACTGCAAGTTCTTTTATCTTCTATTCGACTTATACGCGGTTACGTATATATTACTGAACAACCACAAAATTTGCAATTCTTTAAAATCAAATCACAAAATTAGACTGACAGAAGTGACATCAGATATTTGATTACTTCATCAAAAGAATGATAAAAATGCCTACTCGCAGGTACTGTTAAAAACTTAGTCTCGGAAGGGGATTTCAAATATTATTTCATTTATGAAAAGTGTGCTATGGACTATCAGATTATTGTTGCTAGTGAACTAAAGTTCTTGTCGATGAATGGAATACTTATTCGATTGAAACGCCCTGTATCTTTTTCCAAACAAGCTGCCCTTTGCGTATGTCCCAATATTCATGACTCACCCTTTAGATATCCATAAGGTGACCTACTGCGATAACACTAGAGTTTTTCATTGAAATTGACAGAATTGTAGTGAATGATGAAAAACGATTTTTTTTAATGAAAAAATTGATACCCTGTGTCTCGAAAACGGAAATAAAATACGAGATAAAATATGATCAGGAAGCAACTCCTAAATACTTTCAAACTCACTCATAAACATCCTGTATTCAAAGAATTTGAACGTATAAACAATCAGAGGGGATTTATAAAAAGTTTACATTACCATATTGGAAAGTCTTGATTCATATAATTATATTACAAATGCGCAGAAAATCTATAAAAATAGAAGCTTCCGTGATTTTCACATGAATAATAAAAGTATATCACACTGTCACACAAAAAATATAGCTGTTATGAAATTCATATTCTGTGGAATGAAAACGAACCCTGAACAAATAAGCGCAAACATGTATACAGGCTATTTATTATAGCTTTTGTATAAACTGGATGTTCAAATTT